CAAGTGTATTTTTTTCTGGTGGTTGAAGCAACACTGTCCTATTAACTCTTTGATCTGGTTATGGATCACTTTGAAAATTAAATTAAAACCCCTGAGATGCAATGAAAAATGCATGATTTTTGACATGAACTGGAGGAGTGGCTCGGTGATGCTCTGTAGGCATTGATTCAGATTTCAAAGCAAGTGACGCAGAAGTATGTACACACAGGCACACTCTTCTGTTTTTTGATTATTTTGCTCCTATTCCTGTGTATGTTGTACTGTGTTCTCTATGGTTAGGGATGTATCATCTATTTATAATTCCTAGTGAAACACTACACACCAAATACATATTTTTAAAGTAATAATTGTCGATGAACAGTGAAAGCTCTGAGAAAATAAGCTTTTTAAATTTCTTTGTTCCTATTTTATTTTATTTGTATGGCTTTTTATTGCCTGTATGTATGTCTGTGTCCTAAAGGAGGGTGCCAGATCCCCTGGAACTGGAGTTACAGATGGTTGTGAGCAACTATGTGGGTGCTAAGAATCATGCCAGGATTTTCTGAAAGAACAACCTGTGCTCTTAACCACTGAGCCATCCCTCCAGCCCCAGGCTTTTTATTTTAATTCATGGTGCTTCTTCATGGAAGGTTAGGTCTTGTGGCAGGGAAGGTGTGTTGAGCATGGACTTTGAGAGCTTGTTTTTATTTCCCTGTTTTATGGAAGCTTGGCCTTCACATGGAGCACTGTTTTAATCTTCTATCTAGTTTGTGATTCTGGCGCTTGACAAAGTGACAGCAATCACATTTTCTTGTGTGAATTTGTTCTCACAATGTTTTCCTGATTTCTGGTATTACACTCATATTTGCCATTTGTGTTTTGCAATGAGCCTTATAGAGAAGATAATCATCTCGCTCCATTTAGGGTTCATGCCCTTGGATTCCTAGGCTTTGAGCTATACAAAGCTCTCAGCTGTGTGAAAGATGCCTTTCATTCTTTAGTGTCAGTTACAGAGCCCACTCTTGGATCATGGAATCACATTAGTTATCTTTAACTGGTCCTTGTTGGTAGAGGAAATTCAGAACATGGTTGCCCTGGCAAGACATCACAGCCAAAGACCTTTCAGGTCTGTGTGATCCGGCTGGAATACAAACAGGCCTTTAATCCAGGAGGCAAAGACAAACATATCTGAGTTCAAGGCCAGCCTGTTACAGAGCAAGTTTCAGGTAAAGAGAAGCATAGGTCCATGTGTGGTGATACATACCTTTAATCCCAAAGAATGAAGGTAAAGTTAGTTTGCAGAAAGAAGCACCCATGTTTGAAAGTGATGTCTAATTGAGTGACAGAAAATGTGATGATTTAGAGAGAGATTTGACAGAATAGGATGTGCCCAACTTCACAAAAAGAGAGGAAAGAGAAACTACTTAATGGGCAGTGCAGAGAGAAAGGAGGCAGCTTTTACCAGGACAGGTTACAAGTGAAGACCGAAGGAGCCAGAGATGAGAAGGAGCCAGAATATTAGAACAGATTGCTGGAGTTAGTTTGAGGCCAAGCAGAGCATCAGAGGCCGAGAGAGAAGCCCAAATTGAATAAGTCAGCTGGGACAGGACTTTGAGCCAGGACAGCTGAGTTGAACCAGCCATCCCAGAGCTCAGTAAGAACTAGAAAGGTTTATCCTATATTATATGTCTATATGAGTGAGTATATACAGTGTGTGTCTTTCTGCTTCTGGGACAGCTCACTCAGGACCATCCTTTCCAGGTCCCACCATTTACCTGCAAATTTCATGATTTCCTTATTTTTCATTGCTGAGTAATATTTCATTGTGTAGATGTACCACAATTTCTGCATCCATTCTTCAGTTGAGGGGCATCTGGGCTGTTTCCAGCTTCTGGATATAAACCTATTAAAATCTGTACATCTAAAGAAACTAATCAAGAGAGAGGACCCTAACTAAAATGCTCAATCCCCATCCCGAAAGGCAAAGAGGATGGACACCAGAAGAAGAAAACAGGAAACAAGTTAGGGACCTGCCACAGAGGGCCTCTGAAAGGCTCTGCCCTGCAGACTATCAGAGCACATGCTGAGACTCATGGCCAACTGTTGGGCAGAGTACATGGAATCTTATGTAAGAAGTGGGAAATAGTAAGATCAGGAGAGGACAGGAACTCCACAAGGAGAGCAACAGAACCAGAAAATTTGAACACAGGGGTCTTCCCAGATATTCATATTCCAACCAAGTACCATGCATGGAGATGACCTAGAATCCCTGCACAGATGTAGCCCATGGCAGTTTAGTGTCCAAGTGGGTTCCATAGTAATGGGAAGAGGGACTGCCTCTGACATAATCTGATTGGCCTGCTCTTTGATCACCTCCCCCTGAGGGGGGAGCGCCTTATGAGGCCACAGAAGATGACAATGCAGCCACTCCTGATGAGAACTGATAGACTAAGATCAGAAGGAAGGAGAGGAGGACCTCCCCTATCAGTAGACTTGGGGAGGGGCATGCATGAAGAAGGGGGAGGGAGAGTGGGATTAGGAGGGAAGGAGGGAAGGGCTTATGGGGGGATACAAAGTGAATAAAGTGTAATTAATAAAAGTTAAATTTAAAAAAACATCAAAAAAAAAAAACTAGAAAGGGTGAGTTTATTAAGCCATAAGTCTCAGAGGTTGAAAACATTCTAGGCCTAAGTTAGATTGTATGGAAAGTAGAAGCTCCTAGGACTAGGCCTAGGTTAGCAGAAGGAGGCAGTAATCCTCTGAGACAACAATTGAAATAGGCAAGTAAAGTTTCTTTTGCACTTGTTATTCTTCATCCTGAGGTGGGGGAACTGACATTGACTTAGGAGTATAATATGGTGACGCTGCTGCTTGCTGAGCCAGAAGGCTGTTACTCAGCCCCGTATCGGTGCCTTCTCTGCCATGCCATCCCATTTGCATCAACCTCTAGATTTTTTTTTCAGTCAGTCCATCTTATTTTCTTTAACGGTAATGTGTAAAGTATTTAAGGATGAGGGCTTTGAGTATGTTCACATGTGCTGCACCCTGATAATGGTTTCTCTGAAGAAGTTATGGCTTAAAAGCAGATGAGCAATCCTATGCCTGAGATTGCAGCATTTTCCTCCTTAATCCTAAAAGAAGTCCTACCACAGTCCAAGTTACTTAGAGAAGTAAGCGTAGGTGTGACACGCAGGCCTGCAATAGAGGAGAGCTGGGGACTGGTTGAGGAATCTGAGCCAAAAGTGAAGGAAAGCAGCCAGCTAGGTAAGTGTTTATAGGTCAGGGTGTGTACCTTATGAGTGTTAATTAGCCTGAGTTTATTACTACCTACCTTATGCCTGAATCCCAACATCATGGGCCATATGGACTATACAGATACCAATAAAAGCTTTCTTATGGATGCCTCTAAACAATTATTTAACCATTTCTGTTAATTTTTCTTTTTTTTAAAAAAAAACCCACTTATTATAAAACAAAACACAGATGAAGAAAACCACACTATAAAACATATATAGTTTCAGCCAGATGTGTTGGTACCCAACTTTAACCACTACACCTTTAATCCTAGCACTCAGAGGCAGAGGCAGGTGGATCTTGGTGAGTTCGAGGCCAGCCTGGTCTACAAAGTGAGTACAGGACAGCCAAAAAGCTACACAGAAAAACCCTGTCTCGAAAACCCGTCACTCTTGCCTTGTATCTTCTCTGTCCCAACACTGAGTAACCTGCCACTTCTTCAAGCAGGAGCCTTTTATATACTTGTGTGTTTGATTGGCTTAACTTTTGTTAAAGAATTTGAATCTTTTGTAATGACCATGTGGAATATTGGCCTATAGTAAGTTGGCGTCTCTCACATCTTTTTTTCTTCATATTGCTGTATTGCTGCCCCTGTGAAGTGAGTTGCAAAGGCTGCCTCCCATCTTCCGAAAATGTTGTAAACTTAGTATTATTCAATCCTTAATTATTGGTTGCCACCAGTTGAGCTCCCTTAACCTAGATTTTCTCTTTTTCAGAAATTTTGAAATAAAATATAAACTCACTTTCATAGTTTTTTTTTTGTTTTTGTTTTTGTTTTTGTTTTTTTTGGTGTGTGTGTGTGTGTGTTTATATAGAGATAGATGTACTGCCACACATTCAGCCAAATGTACTTAGGTTCTCTCTGTTTCTTGAAATTTGGTAGCTTGTACCTTCTAAGGAACTGGCTCATTTAACCTAGTGTTATGAACTTACGGATGTAGGAGTATTTGTGTTTTCTTAGTTCAATTTCCCCTTTCTCTTTTCTCTCTTAATGCATGCCAGATCAGTACCCCTGTTTCATTTTCATTTGTGATGTCAGTAATATAAAAAATACTCATGCTTTATTGTTTTTATTGATCTCTTCTAAGAACTACTTTTGTTTTAATGGGTTTTTAATTGCTATTTAGTGATTTCTGCCCCAGGTTTTATTTGATTTTTTTCTGCTGATGTTGCTTTTTGTTTTCTTTTTCTAATTCCTTTCAGTCTTTTCTTAATATAAAGATTTATAGTCAATTTTGAACAGCGATTCTTCACTGAAATCACATGGTTTGTCAGAAAAGCTACATGAAAGAATGAGGTTCTGGGAACACATGAAAAGGGAAATTTTGCTGAATCATGGAGTTTAATTGGAAAATCAGAAAAGGATAAATCTGAGAGAAGGAATACTTAAGGTTTCATTTATAAATGGAACTATGATAACAAGACATTAAAGACAGTCATTAAGATGTACTTGACAATTATGTTCTTGTATTTCAAGTGTTCTTGCACTTTATTTCTCAAATTGATCCTATAGTACGGCACCTGAGCAGGACAGGGCGTGGCTACCCCGTATGTACCAGCTGGCTCCACGCTGTATTTAGTGTGTAGCACTGGTACAGTTCCCTTATTTCACATAGATGATACGGGTCCCAGTGTCTAACAGTCTCTGTCTACCCTGTTCATTCTCTAACAGCTTGTATCTGTGTTGACTGATCCATTGTATTTTTTCTTTTCTGTTTCACCTGCAGAGATGCTGAGCCGCTTGTCCGGATTAGCAAATGTAGTTTTGCACGAACTGTCAGGAGATGACACTGACGGGAACTTGTCTGCTCCCTTAGAAGCTGTGAGTAGCTCTATTGGTCCAAACGGATGAGCTTACATTCTGTGCCCTTCTGAGGAGAATGACTTAAGGTAGAGGGATGTGAGCAACCTCCCTCGTGCAAAGCAGAAGTGATGATGTGTAAGGAAAAAAATTGTGACTCTGTCAGTGATCCTCTGCTGAGATTGTCAGCCAGAGAGCTGTGGCCATGGAAACCAAATCTAGATGAGCTTGGAAAGCTCTGTTGTCTCCTTGGCTTGTTTAGGACAATGTCTTAAGAAGTCATTCCCCCTCCCCCTCCTCCCCTTCCTCTTCCTTTGGGATATAACTCTGTTCCATGGGAAAGGTGAAAAAGTAAATGGGGAACTGGAACACCATTTGTGTTTGAAAACATCTGTTTACTTCCATAAATTCACTCCCTTCTTTTGAGACAGGGTGTCTCTATGTAGTCTTGGCTGTCCTGAATTCACTTTGTAGACTAGGCTGGCTTCGAACTCACAGAGATCTGCCTGCCTCTGCCTCCTTAAATGCTGGGATTATAGGTGTGCCCCACCTCACCTGGCCAGTTTCCCCTTCCTTGTATTTTGCATTGTACCTTCCACCCCGTAAGGATCAAAAGAAGTCCATTAGCTTTTTGAAAGACAAGCAGTGAGCCAAATGGTTAAGGGAAATATTTTTCAATTTTCAAATGACATCTTTTAATTTTTGTTGTTGTTTATTTCATCTGAGATGGGGTTTCATGTGTCCCAGGGTGGCTTCATGCTTGCTATGTAGCTAACCAGAGATGACCATGGACTCCTGATCTCTCAGCCCCTGCCTTCCGAGTGTTGGGATCATGGGTGTGTGCAGCCTTGCCAGTTGGTGCAGTGCTGGGAACTGAAGTCAGGCCTCAGTGTACAAGTCATTCAGTCTACCAGCTGAGCCCCATCCCAGCCCTCAAGTCAGCTTTACTTTTAAGCTTTGGGTTCCTCCATTTAATAGTATGTAATTCTCGCCTCCCTTTATTTAATTTTCCTTTTGATAAAATTAGGGTAGTAATACTTTAGGTTAGACAAGATGCTTACTACATTGTAACAGTGACAATAACTGTTATTGTGTTAGTTAGGACTCAGAAGTTTCTAAAGAGAGGAGTTGGGCAAAGGATGAGGTGAAGTTGTGGGAATTTCCTGAGGGTAGCTAATGCCTTTTTCCTGAACATTTTTTTTTTCTTTTCTAAATGCCAGGAATTACCCCAGGCATCTGACATGGAATTGAATAATAGCACACAAGAGGATGTTTTGGAACGCCTGGCTCATGCAGAGAAGTTAGTAGTGGAGCTAAAGGATATTATTAGACAGAAGGATGCTGAACTCCAGCAGAAGGATGAAGATCTGCAGGTATGGCTGTCCGGGTCACTTGCTGAGCGTGTGATAGAGATGGCACTAGCTCAGAGCGTCAGAGAACCTGCTTCTTATTTCTAAGTTTAGCGTGCTACGTGGCAGAAGTAAGTCGTGTGCTGGGTAGCTGGTGAATTCAGTTCTTCTCTTCATTGCTCTATGGCAGGAGGAAAGAAAAGCTGCTGAAAACAAAGTTAAGAAAATAAAACTTCACGCAAAGGCCAAGCTCACATCTTTGAACAAACAAATAGAAGAAATGAAGGCTCAAGGAGGGACCGCCTTGCCTACAGAGCCCCAGGCAGAGGAGCCGCTCTCCAAGGTATGAGGACTGGGCTCAGACTTGGTGCTTCCTGAGCCAGGAGCCCTCCAATGCAGCAGGTCTGTGCTGAGCGCCTACACAGGATTGCTGCCCTGTCCTACCATCCTGTGGTTTTTATGGACTGAAGGCCACACGGGGAGAGCAAAGGCCAGCAGAAAATGGGGGCTTGACTGGGCAGTGGTTACCCAGACTGTCAGAATTTTAAAGGGCTGACAGGAAGAAATAAGTACTAAAGTGAGACAGAGGCGAAACATATACTTTGTGGATGAGTTTGATTATTGGTTAGAACGTTAAAAACTTCCCCCTGAGGAGGAAGCAGCCTTGCCAGGCCATAGAGGAAGACAATGGAGCCAGTCCTGATGAGACCTGATAGGCTAGGGTCAGAAGGAAGGGAAGGAGGACCTTCCTATCAATAGACTGGGGGAAGGGCATGGGAGGAGAAGAGAGAGGAAGGGTAGTATTGGGAGGGAATAAAGGAGGGGGCTACAGGTGGGATACAAAGTGAATAAATTGTAATAAATAAAAATAAATTAAAACAAAACTATGATCTCTAAGATTTTGCCCCTGTTCTGAAATCCTTTCATTCCTTAACTAATACAGCATGTTCTCTACTTCTGTAAGCAAATAATGGTGGGTTAATTTCTCATGAGCTGTGGCTGAGTTGCCGGGATCACCCTGGCCTCCTTGTACAGAGGCTCCCTCGGCTATGGCTGCCACCACAAAGCAGTGTGTAGTCAGGGCGCAGAGGGACCAAAGAAAGCTGTCTTTAAGGAGTGTGGTAGCGCTCCAGTGCACATTCTCCTCAGCTCTCCACTCAGAGTCGCATTCAGGCATCTGTTTAGAGAACAGAAAACACCCGTAGTTTGGAGCATTTGTGCAGATTATTCCGGGGCAGGTGTGTCACTCATTGCACGCCGACATCTTTTTGTTTTCCTAATTTGTCTGTTGCACTCTGACTCGCTGTATTATTATTCTCAGAAATGTTAGTTCATGGGGAGGGGCCTGGGTTCAGGCTCAGATTCAGAGCCACAGCCCTTGAGGGCTCTTCGCAGTGCCATGCTTAGCTGTGCCCTACAGGGACTAATTACTCAGAAGACAGCACTTTTTCTTGTTGGCACTGGGGCTGTCCTTCAGTGGAAGAGCACCTGTGTAGTGTGTGTGAGGCTTAGCTCCTAGCACAGCAGGGCGTGAGAAAGAAGAGAAGCAAAATACAATTAGCCTCTCACAGTTGATTTTAAAAGCAAGGTAATTTGTCTGAATTATTTTTCTCCTTCATGGTTCCTATGGTAACTCTTTCCCTGGCTGTGGTGGCATGCACTGACTTTTTTCTTTCCAAGTTCTTTCCAAACCTCCCTTGAGTCATGTTGTTAGTTTTTTACATTATCTATTTTATATCTTGCTTTTTTTAAATTTTTGCTTACTTCTTCTGTAGCCCTTAGGCCTTCAAAGTGTTCGCATCTTATACCATTGTCTTCTTCTCTATTAAATAAGTGATGCCCAGTCAGTCCCAGTCAGTCCCAGCAACCCTTTAGCCATGGTATACTTAGTGCAATGTGTGTGGGAGCAGGGGAGACAGGAAAGAGAGAGAGAGAGAGAGAGAGAGAGAGAGAGAGAAGGATCAAGGAAAGGTGTCAGATCCCTTGGAGTTGGAATAACCGGCGTTTGTGGGAGCCCTGGCTTGTTGTCTGGGTCTGGCATACAAACCCTAGTCCTCATGGTTGTATAGCAAGCTTTCTTAAGCTGAGCTGCCTTTCCAGCCCCAAATTCATTGCTTTTTGTTAGTTGTTTTGTTTTGTTTTTTTTTTTTTCCTTGCTCTTGTCATTGTTTGGGTTTGTTATTTGTTTTAGATGGGTTGCTCTGCATAGTTCTGGCTGTTCTGACACTCTTGATCAAGCTGGCTTCTAACTCAGAGAGATCCTCCTGCTTCTGCCTCCTGAGTGCTCCTGTCTGTTTAATGAAGCTGAAATTAAATGTCTCTAAAGTGCCAGTATTGTAAAAGATAAAATATATGCTAATTATAACTTTTAAGTAAGTGACTTTAATCTCTTGACTTTTTCAGCATGATAAGAGTTATACGGAAGAAGAGATGGAAGTAGAAAAAATAAAGCATGAACTCCAGGAGAAGGAGAAATTAATTAGCAATTTGCAAGCCCAGCTGGACCAGGCACAGTCAGAACAAGCCTTGCAGGTAGGAGTGAGTTACCTCATCATTATTAGCTCAACAAATCACTAATGGCCAATGGGCATAGATGGTAAATGCCTCTTTTTAGATAGGCAATAGCTGTCTCCCATTAGTCAGCCCTCCCTACCTGTTCCTCCCTCTCTTCCTTAATTCCAGGCCTAGTAATTGTCTTAGAGTTTGCATTGGTGTGTGGCATTCTCAGTGGATATTTGTGCATACTCAATATATTCTTTCCGTACGTGGTTCACATGATTTACAGCATTTGTTTTTTCCTTGCAGATTTCAGTTTCTGATAACTTTATATTATCTTTATCTTCAGTATTTATTTATTTTTAATTTTTATATTTTTTCTTCACAATTAATTGATTATATATCCCAGTTAAAGCCCCCTCCCTCAACTCCCACAGTCCCACCCTCCCTTCCTCTTCCTCTTATCCCCTTTCCCTAGTCCACTGAAAGGGGGAATACTCCACTATTGCCATTTTCCCATAGTTTGTTAAGTCTCATCAGGACTGTTTGGATCTTTTTCCTCTGTGGCCTGGCAAGGCTGCATCACCAGGGGCGAGTGATCACAGAGCAGTCAACTGAGTTCATGATAGAGAGGCCCCTCTTCCCCTCCCTCAGAGATCCACATGGAGACTGAGCTGCCAATTGCCCACAGCTGAGCAGGGGATCTAGGTCCTCTCCATGTATGGTCCTCTATTGGTGCATCAGTCTCTGCAGGACCCCATGGGCTCAGATCCTTTAGCTTTGTTGGTCTCCTGTGGGGCTCCTGTCTCTTCCATGTCCCTCTAATCCCATTCCTCTCTTCTTCCATAAACTCTCTGCACTCTGCCCAAGTTTGGCCCTGAGTCTCAGCATCTGCTTTGATCCCCTGTTAGATGAATCCTTTCAGAGGACCTTCTATAGTAGACTCCTATCCTGTTTCCTTTCTTTCACCGCTTCTGGTATCTATCCTGTTTGACATTCTGCATGAGATTTAAGCATCCTCCTTAGGGTCCTCCTTAGTGTTTAGCTTCTGTCTGTCTGTAGATGACTGTCCAATATTATACAGCTAATATCTGCTCATTAGTGAAGGTATACCATGCCTGTCTTTCTGTTTCTGGGTTACCTCACTCAGGATGATCTCTTCTAGTTCCATCCATTTGCCTGCAAAATTCATGATTTCCTTGTTTTTCATAGCTGAGTAGTATTCCACTGTGTAGATGTACCACAATTTCTGTGTCCATTCCTCAGTTGAGGGACAACTAGGCTGTTTCCAGACTTTGGCTATTACAAATAAAGCTGCTATGAACATAGATGAGCAAATGTCCTTTTGAATGGTGGGGCATCTTTTGGGTATATGCCCAGAAGTGGTATAGCTGGATCTTGAGGTAGTACAATTCCCAATTTTCCTACACCTTCAGCAAAATGGCTGGATACAATTAGCTCAAAAAAGATCAGTAGCCCTCCTGTATACAACAGACAAATGGGCTGAGAAAGAAATTAGGGAAACAACACCCTTCACGATAGCTACAGAAGATATAAAGTACCTTGGAGTAACTCTAACCAAGCAAGTCAAAGACTTGTATGAAGTATTTATTTTTTTTATTTGTTTTTAAGATACTTTTTCTTCTTTAACTCAAGGCATTCTGTTTTGTGTTTTCTCTTATATGAGCTTTCTTTTATATCATTTTTCATGAATTTTATCATTTTTTGAACGTTTCTAATTTTGATTTTCCTTTCATGTCCTGTACAGTTTTTCTAAACATTTTTAACTCTGAAATAAGTTATAATTTCTTTCAGCATATTGTTCTGTTCCTTAGACTTAATAATTATTTGTTTGGTTTTGAGACAAGGTGTCACGCTGTAGCCCAGTTTTCCCTGGAATTCATAGCAGTCCTCTAGTCTCAGCCTCTTTAGTGCTGGGATTACAGGTGTGAGCCACCAGGCCTGGCTATTTAATGACATTATATAATTAGTCATTCTGTCTTATGTGTGAATATTTTTGCCTGCAAGCATGCTCTACATCCATGCTTAGTGGCCATGGAAGTCAGAAGAGGGCATCAGATCCCCTGCAACTAGACTGTAGATGAGTGTGGGTGCTGGAAACCAAACCACACTGAGCCACTGCCAGCTCTCTCATAGGGCGTTTGCACTGGATCCTCTTCTAGCCCTATTTTTGTGTGAAATTAGTTTTTCTAAACACTTAGGCGTGTTTTAGGGAAAAAAATCGTAAGACTCTGTTTTGTAGTTTTTGTTGTTGTTCTAGTCAAAGATGCGGGAGCTAGATTTCTCAGATTTGCGGCTTGTTTCCTCCCGCCCTTCACTTAGATCTGCACCAGCACGGTCCAACATTAACAGCCAGACACTGGAGTCAACTCATTCTCCATCAGCAGATGAATATCTGCACTGTGGAGCATCTGCTCAGTGAAATAAAACAGGAATTAGTTAAATCACTAGTCTGCCTTCCTTTTGAACTTCAAACTGTATGCTTACTTTTGAATTAGAAAAATTATTCAATTATCATAATTAACTTTATATTTTATTCTCATTTATCTTGCTACCAGCTATTATTCATGTTATATGCATATTCAAAAAGCACATTACAATATTACATACAAGTACAGCAAAAAAAAAAATCATTCAAACTGAATCAACTTATTGACGTCAACCACGTATACAGTGGCCATTGCACACGACCTTAGCAAACTCTTACCTAAGGGCCTGGAGAGATGGCTTGGTGGCCAAGAGCACTTACTGCTCTTGCAGGGAACGGTTAGGTCCCCAGCAACCACGTCAGGCAGCTCATAACCACTTGTAACTCCAGTTCTAGAGGATCTGATGCCCTCCGACCTCCACAGGCATCTGTATACATGCAGTGCACATAACTCATGCAGGCACGCATGCACACACATGTACATAGAAAAATCTTACATCTTTAATATATATATATTATATATATATATATATATCATTTGATATAACTGATAAAATCATGTAGTCAGACCAGAACAAAAATATGTAATAAAAAATACTTTATAATCTTTAAATTTTAGTTAAATGATACTACTTAAAGTGAAATACTTCTGGAGGCATCACATTTTAAGACTTCTTTAGCCTCATGTAACAGTTGATACTAAATTATGCAGCATATTCATACAATTTCCCTTTTTTCTTTATATTATCTTTGTTCTGTTTTTTGTTGCGGGCTGGGTCTCACTGTATAGCCCAGGCCTGTCAAGAACTCTCATTGAATTCACAGGCATATGTCACTGTACTCAGCTTTTTTCGCTAGTGCTGGAGCTGGAACCCAGGGCGTTGACCATGCAGGGCAGATAGTCAACCAGTTTGCTGCATCATTCCTAGCAGTTTCTTCTAACTGTATTTGCAAATCTGTGTCTCAGAACAGAGCCCCGTGACTCAGTTTTAAGACATCAGAGAGAGCATCTAGATTACCCCAGCCCTATTCGTCTTCCTTCCTGTAGAAGCCCTGCATTTACCCAGAGTCAAAGAATGGGAAGTGCTGCAGCTTTTCTAATGCTGCTACCATCTATTCCAACAAATAACTTCTTGGCTACCTTGTAAATCCCCGCCCCCCCCTCCCCCCAGGGTGATCAGATGAAGTTTGCTGCTGTCTATTACACAGTTTCTCTTCCTTCCTTCCTTCCTTCCCTTCTTTCTTTTTGTTTTTCGAGACAGGGTTTTTCTGTGTAGCCTTGGCTGTCCTGGACTCACTCGCTTTGTAGACAAGACTGGCCTCACAGAGATCTGCCTGCCTCTGCCTTTGAGTCCTGGGGTTACAGGTGTGCACCACCACTCCCAGCTATCATACAGTTTCTCATGCCAAACAAATCCAGATTTCCGTGGTTTGCCTTAACTTGTTTGCAGCCTTTGGTTGGTAGGGTATCTTCCTACCTATGTTGTCAATACTGTCCATGTTCTTCCTTTCACTGTTTAGTTTGTCTCTTTACTATATGAGCAAAGATATTGAAAACAGTGCTGCTATCGCTTATGTCTTCTCCTGACAAATTTTGACATTTCAATAATACTTTAAAAATTAGTATGTGGAATTCTTTTTTTGTGCTAAAGTAGAAATTAAAAGGAAATACAGTAGATGTTCCAGACAAATGAGAAAGTCAAGGAACTAAGAATTCTAACCCCTTTGCTTAAGTAAGTGTTTTCCCCTTCAGTTGGATAAGAGTTCTGCAGAGATGGAAGACCTCATGTTGATGAAGCAGCAGCTCCAAGAAAAGGAAGAACTCATTAGCACTTTGCAAACTCAGCTCAGCCAAACACAGGCAGAGCAAGCTGCACAGGTAGGATGATGGCACCTTTACTAGAATAAAGTGTCATGGGATCCAGTGTTGTCGTGTGGAAAGTCAGTCCCAGCAGTCACTTTCAAAAGCTTGGTGGGTGAAAGCATGGTAGCCAGGATGTAAAGTCAAAGTTAGGAGGGTACAGGGGAAGAAATTAGAAGTATGGTTAAGTATGGTGGGTGGTGCATACAGTAATAAGAAACACCGGGACATTTATGTTGATGAATTTGCCATAGCTTTATCGATGACTGTTTTTGACTCCTAGTTCCAGCACTCCATTTTAATAGCACACAGAAATTCTGTCTCTTGGGAGTGGACTTGTGCTGAGGTCAAAAGGAGACTAATAGACAAACCAAAAGAAATGCAAATTATTGGCTCTGTTGTTTCTATAAAGTCTTGTTAGAAAAATACATCTTAGTTTTAAAGTTACTTGAAGAACATAAAATAAAGAAATGGTAAAGGATATGAAATTCCTTGCTAATGGCTCTAGTCTGAGCCAAAGTCAGCCTGTTTGTACTTGAACCCTTAACTCTCTGTTTTTCTCAGTTTCCTGCCTTGACACCCTACCACATAGTTCTCCTCTGAGAATACTTTTGGATCATGACACATTTTTAACCCTGAAGGGTTTTTGCACACGGGACACATATATATCTGATCCTAGCCATTACATATAATGATAACAGGGGTATCTTCTACTTAGGAATGGCCAATGCTTATATACACAGTTAGAATTATATATCCAGAAATTGATAAATTCATTCCGGTAGCTTCTGTTGTGCCTTTAATATACAGTATAGGGTAGGAAAATGTTACACATTTTTTAATCTCATAAACTGCTTGAAACAAAGGCAACCAAGACATGAATATGTTAACAGGTTCGTCATGGAGCAAGCCACTCCAAATAAAATTCCAGAAGGCTAAAGTGTACAGATGACAGGTTTGAGACCAGTGTTGGCTACATGGCAAGTTCCAGGCTAGCCCAGGCCACACAGTGAGACCCCATCTCAAAAAATGAAAATTATAAAAGTAACATTAGCATCAAAGTATTTTGAGAGAAAGAACGTATTTTATGAGCACGGCAGTTATAGAAGTTATATGTGGGATTTAAACAGAACCTGAGAAATAGACAGTACTCTAGGTAAGTGTCGTTCTCATTGGGGAGCAGAGCTGGGAAAGGCAGAGAAGAAGAAAGCAGCACATCACAGGGAAGCCTGCAGGAAATGACAGCTGGACACAGCTTTCTAGGGAAGCAGTGTGCCCTTGTAAGCACACCCAGTTCTTTAATCAAAGCAAATCTTTGAAAACCGAACAACAACAACAAAAAAGAATAGATTTCTATTCGTAGAGCATCTTTACAGGCATGAAGTTCTGGGACTCTTTTTGAGCATGTTTGATACTGAAAGAAGTATCAGGGGTTAACAGAAGTCTGACTTCACTCGTGTTTAATTTTCTGTCTTTTCAGAAATTATAAGAAAAATACTCTTGCATATTTAAAGCATTTTTAGTATCCATGGAAATTTCTAATTAAAATTATATGAGTTGATTCTGAATTTGATAGTAGGCTCTCTCTCACGTCTGAAGTTACTGCTGGACCGCTTGCTCTTCCAACATGCCCTTGGCATTCTGAGCTGAGGTTTAGGGAGCGGCTCCCAGTCAGTGCTGTGTGCCCGTCTTTGGAGAGTAGGCTATATGCGTTGTCTGTGAAATCCTCTGGAGTGTAACTTGTGTAGTTTCTCTGGTGTGTGTCTTCAGTTGAGTTCCATGCAGCAGGTGGTCCGAGAGAAAGACGCCCGCTTTGAAACACAGGTTCGTCTGCATGAAGATGAGCTGCTTCAGTTAGTGGCCCAGTCAGATGTGGAGACAGAGTTGCAACAGGTGTGTTGCTCAGACTCCGAGGAATGACTGTCATTTTAGTCAATGTTTAATCATGACTTCACAGCCGCCCTCTAGCCACTGCCCTTCCCCCTGCTCTCCACATGGCCTCCATGGCTTCTCATTGGTGCCCCTGTCTTTTGTTGCTTATCATCTTTTTGTCTTGTCCTTAATTTCCCTTTTTCCTTATCGCATCAGGTTGGAACTTAGAACTTTAAACCTGAATTTACTTGGGGACTTAGTGGGAGTCCCCACATACGTGGGAGCCGTGGGCTGATTTTTGTTTCATTTGCCGACTTACAGCTACCATTCCTGCTCTAAACCTGATCCAAAACTTCAAATTGATGAAGTCAGTTTTGTATTTAAATAAACAAACAAAAAAATGGAGATAAAAAAAATGATTTTGAAGCCACAAAGTCCTTTATCAAATCAGTATTTTTTAAGTTCACTGAGTAGATACTGAAAATTGACTTCATTGTATTGGAGTTTACCATGTACTAACTCACATGTACTTAGAATGTGGAACTGTGTGGTTCCAGAAGGGTGCTGTAGTGGTACTTTGTTTAATCTGTGTTTGATGTATGTTCATGTACGTGCAGATGCATGTTTATGCACACAAGGGTGCATGCACACCTGTTCGTGTGTGGAGGCCAGAGGACAACTTTGGATGTCATTCCTTCCTAAGGAGCCATTCGTCTTGATTTTTTTTTTTTTTTAGCTCTTGAGGCCTCTCATCAGCCTAGCTCAGCAATTAGGCCAGGCTAGGCTGATTGGTTGGCCAGCAAGCCTGAGGAATACTGTTTCTACCTCAGAGCTGGGATTACAGGCTACAGGCTTGTTCTACCTGGCCTGGGTTTTTATGTGGATTCCGGGAGTTGAACTCAGGCCCTCACAAGCACTTTGCCAATTGTGCCATCTTTTCCAGCCTCTCATCTGTTTGGTCTTGAGTGAAAACTTGTTCCAAGTTCTAAGCAGTCTTTTGAGAATGTACTACCACATGGAGTTTCAGAGTTCATTACTTTGAATAATAGAATATTGACTATATATATTGATTTATTGATTTAATGGGTATTTTTCAAGTGCCTGCCCTGTGATTGAAAACAGAAGAGAAATGGTTTTTGCCTATACAGATTGCTCTCTTTTGTAGGTAAGAAATGCACGTTACCTATGCTTATTTAGGGACAGGCCAGGAACTAGATAACTTTGAAAGTGAGTGTGTGTCGCTTTACCTTAAGTGTACTAGGCTCCCTGATTCAAGGCCTTGCTTGCATTTGGGTTTGGTTGTTGCCACACTCTGGAGAAGGCATTTTGGAGACTCCCTTGCTGCCGGATGGGCCATGGCATGCTGGTGCCCACTCTTTGGTCTCTTAGCCTCCACGCTCTGCAACTAGCTGCACAGGTGCACATGGCTGTTTGGACGGCAGGCAAACACTCACCTTACTTATCTGTAACTAAACCGGAAATGTTTCCTTTCCAGAAATTGAGGGTGATGCAGAGGAAGCTCGAGGAACATGAAGAAGCCTTGCTGGGCCGTGCTCAGGTTGTAGACCTGCTGCAGCAGGAGCTGACTTCGGCTGAGCAGAGAAACCAGGTACTGTCTGCCCCCACTGTCTGCCAGCGAAGGCTTTGTCTCCACCTGAGGTGGTTGGTCGTGGGGAGCAGGTATAAAAGCCTGTGCGCCTGCAGAGGGTCGGTGCCATCTACTCGTTCTTTTCAGCAAACACTCTGTGCTTAACAATGGTAAAGCAAACAGTTCCTTGTCCTGGGCTTTCGGTTTGCATCTTTGTTGCACTTTTCCATCATCATTGTAGCTCTAGAATGCTTCTGAAGAATTTCCTATTTTTCTCTAGTGAGTTTCTTTTTCATTTTACCGTTTACTGTCTTGAGTAGTTCTTGTATTTGGTGTATGGTCTCTACTTTGGTCAACTTCCTGCTCCATTGAAGCGATCCTATAATGCAGTAGTCCCTTTGCATTATAGTCCTTTTGTCTTGCTATACAGTATGGGCCCATGCTTCGCATTTGGGCTTCTCTTACCTAGCTTTGGCTGCCCTGTGCCCTTGTCCTATCATCATATCCAAGTAGCCAAATTCTAATGCAGAATTGGTTCTAGCAACACAGCCTTTGTTTGTTTACCTGGGTGCTGTCTGCTGCCTGGTAAAGTCAGCCACATCCCCCTTCCTTAATCTTCAGCATGCTTCTTAAGGCAGCTTTCTCTGGAGCGTAGAAAGGTTCCCCCTCCCTTCATCCTCATAAAGCCTGAACCTGACTCTAGGTGTCCTCTCTGGGTGACCTGGGACAGTAAGTGTCTAGTTTTCCTTGTGGTACTTACTAAGCCTTCGGTGCATAGATGGTTATGTCTGTGTGACCTTTGTCAGATTGTCTTAGTTCATGCACTGTGGATCTCCACTGCTCCCTGATGTAGTGGGTATCATTGTTCTCTCATCACAGACAAAGAAACTCAGGCACAGAGAATTCCTACACACCCCTGGTTGATTTGGTAGGCTTCAGATTTTCTGTCAGTAAACTAAGGGTAGCAGCATTTATATAAAGGACCTCTTGTAGAATGGCATGGAATAGCATATAAAGATACTTAGGGATTGTCACACACAGGACATTATGGTAGCTAAAATTACTACCACACTACTGAAGTCATTCCAGAGAATCACGAAGCAGCTATAATTCTCAAATCTAACGAGAGTCTTTTAAGCCTTATTTTACTAGACTTTTCTGCAATATTTGTCCCTTGTCTGTTGGTTATTTTTATTTATTCATTTTTTAAAATAGGGTTTCTATATAATCCAGGCAGCCCTTGAATCCATGATTCTCCCATGTGCTGGGATTCTGGGCCTGTGCCATTGTGTCTGGCTGGAATTTGTTACTCTTTATCATTTATTTCTTAAAGCTTCCTCAAAGTCCATTGTATTCCTATTGCACAGAGCACATCTCGGTTCTCTTCTTAGGTGTCAGGAGCTTTTCTTTTGTTTACTTTTCCTTTACAGGCATCTCTTCCTGCCCATTACACAGTACTTGCTAGTGGACTAGCCTCAGCCAAGTCATCTTACTTGGTACATACTTATCTCTTTCCCTCTTAATAGTAGATGTGACTGTCTTCCCTGCCACTGGGATCTCCCGACTATTTCTCTCCCCAGTGTTTTTGGTATGCATACAATTCCCTGGTGACACAATGGCTAACCTACAAGCTTAGCAAGCTTAAGAACTTAAAAAACAACAACAACAAAACATCACCTTCCTTCTTAAAGCATATTCTTTGTAGCTCAGAAGACCAGACACAGAGCTACCATTGTCTGGCATTCCCATTGCTGAATACGTAGCCAGATTATGTAGGCTCCTGCACTGTCCTGTTTGTTGCAGCACTATTCACAATAGTTGGAATATAAAGAGCCAGCCTACGAGCCTGCCAGTGGATGTCTAATATAAATAAATGTGTAAACGTAATATATGCACACAGTGGAATGTTACTCAGTCCTCAAAAAGGAATGAAGGTCTGTGTTTTTGCAGCAACATAGAATGAATACAGGATGTATTGATTAAATAATAAGTGTGTAATAATAAATAATAATAAGTGAAACACATTAAGCACACAAGGGGCAAATATCACATGTTCACATTTACATATGGAACTGAACACGCTAATCTCAAAGAAGTAGAGAACAGGATAGTGGCTTCCAGAGCTTGGAAAGGATGCAAGGGAGGAAGGAGTGGAGATGATAAATGGATACAAGGTCCCTTTGGATCGGAGGGACAACATTTCATCTGTAGCACAGGGGATGGGTGCGTTTGACAGTAGCAGTTTCAAACTCCTAGGAGAGAAGGTTTTGAATGTTCCTAACACAACAGAAGATATGTGCCTGACATGCCGTGCCAGGGACCTTGATCTGATTGTCATACCTGTGTGCCTCATATTGTAATGTTGCATTTACCCTACAAATAGGTTTAATGGTTACGTATCCAATTCAAAACCACATTTAAAAATATTTTAACCATATTTACTCTATTATGGGCTATTCACTCAAAAGAATAAACTCAAGCTTCCTTGTTTCTTTTGTATTCCTTAACCCCTACTATTAATTATCAGTCCTGCTGGTTTAGTCTCCTAATTCTAGACTCTGCACAATACTTCAATAATATCAGGTCCTAGCTCTGTTCAGGGAATATCTTCACATAAAGAACTCTTTACTTGCTTGTTTGTTTGTTTGTGTTTGTTTTGTGGGGTTGGCTTTTTTTTTCTTCCATGAAGAGGGTTGTCTCAAAAACTTATGTGACCAGACTCCTTATTACTTAAAGAGCAGATCTCAGTTTTCTTAATGATAGGGTGTCTACAGAGCTGTACTGTTATTTTTCCAGCCTTCTCTCCTGGAGTTTTTCTCTCTACTGACTCCAAACTACCTTGGTAGTCATGTTTTTTTCTTAGCTCTGAAGTACCATTTTTAGTACCTCCTTGCCTGGCTGATAGCTCACTTTTAACTTTTAGATTATTTGCCTGTCTTTTAAAGGAAGGCCGCCGTAGCCCATCCTTCTTCTCTTCCTTGAACACATCCCAGAAATTCCTGTAGTGCCGTCTGTGCTTTTCTGTGGTGCTCAGCCTGCTTTGGTACCTGACTCTGAGTTCCTTCAGGGTACAGACTGGCTTGATTGATTTGTTGTGAACTGAGTCCAGTTTGCCATAGACTGTGCTGGTGCGAGAGACTAGGATAAAATGGCATGCCTCTTTCCCTCACGGAGCTTGTTTTCTAATGGGAGAGGCAAATTTGAGGAACTACTGATGCAAGGTAAATATGAGTACAAATGGTCCAAAGTGTCTAGAAACCAACTGTGGCAGGTGATACTCCATGAGTTCAGTGCCCTTGAGTGCCTTCTAGGGGTGCATCAGTGTGCTCGCTGAGTGGAAGAATGCAGGAGGTGTACTGTGATGCTTCATGTTTTGTTTTTGATTTTAGGCTCTTTCACAGCAGTTACAGCAGTTGGAAGCTGAATATAGTACTTTAAAGAACACCATGGAAACAGAAAGACAGGAGTCCAAGGTCCTGATGGAAAAGGTAGAACTTGAAGTGGCAGAGAGAAAGTTATCCTTCCATAACCTACAGGAAGAAATGCAGCAGCTTCAGGGACAGTTGGTGCGAGCCGGCCAAGCCCAGGCTGACCTGGAGACCCAGTACAGTGCTCTCGAGCAAAGGCATAAAGCAGAAATGGAAGAGAAGGCAGCTTACATTTTGACTCTTCAGAAGACAGAGCAAGAGCTGCAGTCTGCCTGTGATGTTCTGAAGGAGGAAAACGCGAAGCTGCTCCAGGAGAAGAGGGAACAGGCTGCCGAGTCAGCCCAGGCCATGCAGCAGCTGGAAGGTCAGTGTTTGGTGGCTTTAAAAGCCACACCTCTAGCCCCTTAGTGGATTGTACCTGCTACTTTCAGGGCTCTGTTAGTGGCAAGGTCAGAAGGATATAAAAGGCATCTTCCTAGCCTGGTCTTGTCTCTCAGGTCACCGTGTTTTTAACATTGTCATCTCAGTACTGAAAACTCGTCAGCTATGCGCTGGGCACTGAGTAGTCGTGTGTGAACACAACTGACCTGAGGAGTGCATGACTGACATGAGTAGGACTGGGATTTATTTCTGGAAATCTCAGGCCACATTTAGGTACGCAGACTAAATTGCAAGAAGTCATTCATAAGTCTAAAGGTAGATAGAGCTTCTTGCTTTTATTATAGATGATAACTTCCTTTTGAGAAAACTTCTCCTCTAAACAGGTTTTATGAAACATTTTATTAAAATAAAAAATAACTCTAGAAGTTTGACCTTTTAGAAGTTTATAAAAAAGTGCACCTTGGCACCAATACTCCATTTCTCCAGTCTTCTTCAGCATACCAGTGTAGATGATAGATGGGACTATCCATGCCCAGGAAAGAGCTTAGGAAAAAATAGCTTGCAAACAAGTACTGAAAAATAGGTTTTCAACCAGAAAGTCTAGAAGGCCAGGGGAAATATCTGAGTACATTGTCCCCTTCCCTGAGCCATGTTCATGTGTAAGCCCTGCCAGGACCCTTGATGGCCCATAATGCTTAAATGGACAGTGACAAACATAAATATAAACTACCAAAGCCAGTTTTCTTTTTTCTTTTTTTTTTTTTTTTTTGGGGGGGGGGGGGGGGGGTTTTTTTTTTTGGTTTTTTTGTTTTTTTTTTTTTCTATGTTTGCTTTTTCGAGATAGGGTTTCCCTGTGTAGCCCTGGTTATCCTGGAACTCAAAGACCCGCCTGCCTCCACCTCCCGAGTACTGGGATTAAAGGAATGGAGCACCATGCCTGGCCCCACCAAGGCCCATTTTTAAGGCGGAAAAAGGAAAAATGAAAGGACTGTCTTTATTAACATATTATCAGTTGTGCATATTAATGACATTCAGTGTGAGAATTCCCTACAGACAAGCAGTGTGTGTTTGAAACCTCCAGCCTCCCTTCCTGACACATCCTCTCATACCCCTCCCCCTCCCAAGTCCCGAGTGAACACTCTTCTTCCTGAAGCTCTTCCACTTTAGTTCCTGCAAAGGAGAGAAAATGTGCAGTTGTCTGGCTTTCTGCACTTAACATGATGTCCCTTGTTCAATCTCTTTTGATGCAAATGACAAGATTTCATTTTTCTTTGTGACTTGGTAGCATTCCATGTGCTTAGTTTTCGTTTGGAGGAAGTAGTTTACTGAAATGCTTTTTGGTCCAAACAGTATAAAATGTAATTGGTACTATAATCTTAATTAAGGTAGCTGAACTAGTCAAGTTCAAAGTGGTATATCCTTCAGGGTTTCAGAGTAGAGACAGATCTCACTGCTGTGTATTTGATTTGTTTGCCTCAGGTGTCACATCTGTTTGTTTTCTTTTCCTTAGATCAACTCCAGCAAAAATCTGAAGAACTTAGCCAATTTGTAAATAAACCAGACTTGCAAAAACAAGAAACAGCATCTCAGACTTCACCAGATGTTTATAATGAGGGCATACAGGTAAATGGACTTCTGTTGTTTGCGGGCATTTTCTTGAACGCTAATTGATGTGAGGGGCAGGTAGTCCACCATGGGCAACACTGTCCCTAGGCAGGCGGGCCTGGGCTGCATCAGAAAGACAGCTGAGCAAGCCCGAGGAAGTAACCCAGTGAGCAGCCTTCCTTTATATTTTCTGCTGAGCCTCTTGGAGTTCCTGCCTTGATTTCCCTAGATGATGGACTATATAGCCTGTAAGCCAAATAAATCCTCTCTTCTCCTGAAAAAAAAAAAAATGGACTTCTGTATGATCTGTTTATATGTGTTGTATTGAAGAGTCTAATGAGTATTACAGAGAGAGTGTAAATGTGCATTTTCTGCCTATGAAATGCTTTTAGGGTATAAGTCTATCTACCTGAATGGAATCCTGAAAGGTGTTAAAGCAGCTTCCCAGCAAGGATAAATAAATAAATAAATAAATAAATAAATAAATAAATAAATAAATAAATAAATAGATAAATAGATAGATAGATAGATAAATAGATAAATAGATAAATAGAATAAATAAATAAATAAATAAATAAATAAATAAATAAATAAATAAATAAATAAATAAATAAATAAATAAATAAATAACATAAGACCTTTTCCAGCAATTCAGATAGATAGGATCAGTTTCATGCTGAATGCTCGCATTTCCTCCTGGAGGTTGTGTTTTTGCTTTACTGGCTATCCTTTTGTCTATCTCTGTCTATCAGTTCTTCTTAATGTTTTATAAATTTCACAGTAGGCTGCTGACATCAGGATCTTTTTTTTTCTCCAGATATTTCAGCATGTGTATTATTGACTAGATTTTAGGATTTGTTAGTAGCTGAGGTATGCTAGTTGAGCAATTCCTCTTTTTCTCTTGAGGTAAGGTTTACAAACCATTAAATGCATAAATCACAAGCACACCATGAGTACATTTTGACAGATATATTCATTTCATGTTTGTGATTTTCTATTCTAACTTTTTTATTTTAGAGTTGTTCGTCTGTACCAAAAGTTCCTGCCTTTTCATTGATTTCTAACATATTATGACTTATCATAGATATAATATCATCTTGAAAATCCTAGCTTGCTGCCACACATAGTAGCATATCTTTGTAAGCCCAGAACTTAGGACATCGCAAGTTCAGAGCCATTTTGCTGAGCTGTATTATGAGGCTCTGACTCAAAAATGGGACAGTACTTGCTGAGCCTTCAAAAGGTCCTGGGTTTGATATCACTACAATAAATAAACAAATTCTTGCTTGCGAATCCAAAAATTGCATCATTTGTAATTAGTCTCTGTTGCTTATATTTTTCCTTGAGGTTGAATCACAGTTTCCTATGTCTCTCTGTCATGGGTGATTTTTGTATTTTTGCTATAAACATTTTGTTTGCGAGGTTTTGTTTTGGCTCTAAAATTCTGAAGCATTCTGATTACTTTTTATCAGCCAGTAGCATGGATGCATGCTTATCAACTCTGGCCTGTGGCAGAGAGCCCCTCAGTCAGCCCCATCATTGCATCATTCATTGTTCAGCTGGAATGTAGCAATTTATACAGACAATTAATGCCTCTTGACTGGACTGATGTTCTTAGTCTGTTCAGTTACCTCACATACAATGCATCTTTGTTCCTCCCCAAGGCTTTCTTATTGTTCAAGATAGAGTGCCTGTAGCTATTTTATTGGAATTTTATTTGCTTTGTATAGTACAACCTAGAAACCTTCCTCTAGATAGACATCCCAAACCTTTAACATATGTCCTGCAGTTTCTTTAATCAACAGCAAAGGTTTGTGATCAAGCATGAAACTTGAAAGTAAAAACTCTATAGCCTAACATGGAAATTTCCATGGAATTACATGGAAATTGTATAAAATAAGCCCCTTGCAGGATAAAAATGTGTAAAAAGACAAAAAAATTATAAAGATTTAATATAGATTCTTGCTTGTCAAAGAGAGACAAGCATTCTGGATACATAAATAGAAGAACATTTTATTGTAAATGGAAAAAACCCAATGATTCAGAAATCACAGTTCTTCTTCCTCTTGAGAAGTCTCTCTTCATGTTCATCTTCCTCCAGGCCCTGCCGCTTGCTGGCTTTAGTCAACTCTAATCTCAGATACTGCCTGTGAAGTTTTAAAATGTTCTGTCATGCACAGTTGAGTTGGGATTTCTATCTCTGTAATGCAGGCTTCTGTCTTGGATTCAAAACCCAAGGAACTGGAAGCTTATAGGATGTATTTTATTTCTTTTTCTATCTTCAGAATTAAAAAAAAAAAAAATCTCCAAAGATTCCCCAAACAGAGGAGTAGATGCATCCTTGTGGCTGGAGCACATGTGCTAGAGACCCTCTGGGCATCAGTGTGAGAGCTTGCACGGGGGAATCACTAATTTGCTGTCTTTCTACAATGTAGGTAGTCATGGAAGAGGATAACGCCTGTTTGCAGAAGAGAGTGGTAGAGCTAGAGAATGAAAAGGAAGCCTTGCTCCAAAGTTCTGTAGAGCTGGAGGAGCTGAAAGCTGAGAATGGTATGTATAAATGAAAACCGTAATTCTGTCTTCTTATCTGGTGTGTGCCTCTGCTCTTAACACTGTGCGTGCATACATGGAATTGATGCTGTACTCTCAGGATCTCAGGTAGCAGAGCTGGAAGTTGTCAAGATAAAACTAGTGCATGCCAGGTCGCTGAGCACGGTGCTGGTGCCTGTATCACTGTCACAGTTTCTGCTATACACTGTAAATGCTGCAGGATTTCCGAGTAGTTTATATTCATTTGGGAATGGCAAAGATACCTTCTAGGGAGAATGACCCGAGTTGGACTTTATTAAGATGTTGAATTTTTCAGTGGGCAAAACAATAAAAAATGAGGAAAGCAAAATGAGAATAAGCTAGAGGTGTAATCCCATTGGCCTTTGTCATGTCAACACCTTGCTTGGACTCCTCCTCCTCCTCTCATTCTGTCCGCTCCTCTCTCAGCCCTCACCCAGGACACTGTCTTCTTTGGGAATTCAGTCTTCATCCTGAATTAAGTACTTTGTGTGCCTACAAAAGCCTTTATACCTTTAGTGATGTATTAGGATGGTTAGTTTATGTGTTTATCTTTTTTTTAATTTGCTTTGCCTAAACTTAATAACACCTGACAAATAACAGCTTCTGAGTAAAACCTTGCTGGAGTAAGCTGAGTATATTAGCATTTTATTCTTCTGGACTTGTGAATGAAGGCATGCCTCAGACATACCTTTTCTTCATCATGTGCTTCATGAGAACCTCCTTAGTTCAGTAGTATTAACATGTGGTGATGTTTTACTGCTCTCATTCATCTGGAACAGTGGTTCCCAGCATCCTAAATGCTGCGACCCTTTAATACAGTTCCTCATGTTGTGTTGACCCCCAGCCGTAAAATTATTTTTGTTGCTACTTCATAACTGTGGTTTTGTTAACTGTTGTGAACCATAGTGTAAATCTCTGACATGCAGGATGTCTGATATGTGACCCCTTGAAAATATCATTAGACCTCCAAGGGGTCACATCCCACAGGTTGAAAACCATTGGTCTAAAGCCTCTGCCTACTGTGCTGTGCTGTGTGGGAGTCAGAGGGGACACTATGTAAACGTCACAAAACTAGATCTGATGTTTTCATGCAACCATTTTATAGTTTTCCACTTAGCTCCTACCTGGAAATTATGCATTATTAAATACATAATTATTAAAAATATTCCCACCATTGCCAATAAAGCCACAAAGTTAGCTCATTATTTAACCCACTTAAAGTACTTTTTTTGATACTTATTTTACCATTTTGCAAGCAGTTTCTATCCATTCACATGATTTGCACGTGCTATGCGGTTCTGTGATTTCCACTCTCTGTCCCTCAGGGGTCATTGGTTTTAAGAGTTTTCTGTAGTTGCTTTTGTGTCTGCTATCATAAATTACCTTTCCATCTGTATCATGTTTTGTTTTCTATCTCACTTTTTGCAATGTCATTTCTACAGCTACACACCTTTCTCAGGGGAATGAAATGTGTTGAGTACTGTTTTGAATTCATAGGTTTCATGAATAGTCTTCCTTTCCTATAGCCAGGCATTATTCTACTTGCTGAAGATACAGCTGTGAACATGTTAGAATGCAAGACAGACCATAAACGTGTATAAAAAAAGAACGTTTTTGAGTAACAGATATCAGGATGAAAATGAAACAGGGTCCTGCAAGTATATCTTGTGGTAAGAGAAAGGCAGTATTAGAAGTCAGGCTAGGCCTCTCTGGGAACTTGACATTTGAATGACTAAAGATGAGGCAGTCATGCAAAGAGCATTTTATTGGGGAAAAGAGCAGAACAAATGTGGTGTGTGAATGAACTTGATGTGTTTACAGAACAAAATGAAGCTCTGAGTTTTTGTTGTAGAGTGAAAAAAATGGCAGTGCAAGGGGAGGTTAGAGGATAAAGTATGAGGCTAAACATTCAAGTCCCAGTAGATCATGATAAGGCATTGAGATGTTGGATAAAACTGATTTCTCTTTCTTTGTGTATTTAGTTTATCAGGAAGAACATAAGCTTCCTGCAGTGTCTCCAGGACCAGTGTTCAATAGTTTTCTCTTCCAAGGCATTGATAGCCTGGGTTAGAGCTGTGTGCTAAGATTCTGTCCTAGCTGTCTGTCTAGGTCTGTAACCTCCTCATTTGTTTCCTCATTTGGTCATGGGAATTGCATAAGCTCCCTTCTAGTGCTAAAATTTAGTGTCTGAACATCTGTTGAACATTAAGAACATTGGAAGTGCAATTGCACAAAACTGCACAGTTCAGACAGTAGGAGAATGGGTAAACTAAGGCAGAATTCCAGATTATACAGTAAAGCAAGTGCCCAGTTCACGTCTTGGCACCTGTGGCCTTTAAGCCTTCCACTGTTCAGAATATTTCTCTCATGATCATTAACATACTGAGTAGTATCATGCCTGATACCTCAAGTAGCCTTGGTACAATTAAATCACTGTTTTTTCAAATGCTCAACACATATTGTCCTAAAGAAACTGTTTTTTGACTTTCAGAAAAACTCTCTTCTCGGATTACTCTTCTGGAGGCTCAGACTAGAACAGGGGAGGCTGATGGCACAGTCTGTGAGGTAAGTGCTCACTTGGTACAGTCACAGTGGGGCCTAGGTTAAGAGGGGCTAACTCCAGCAGTTACTAGTGTTGACAGAGATGATATTACCCATGGAGTGAGATAACATTTAAGAGAGTCATAAGGATTAGACTTTTTCATTTACTAGTTTTCAAGTACTTGGAATTCTTTGTCTTAAACCAACACAAGTACTTGTGTATTAGCTACTTTTCTGTTGCTATCATAAAACACCATGATCAAGACAAGTTATAGAAGAAAGAGTTTATTTGGGCTTACCATTCCAGAGAGTAAGAGTCCATCTGATGCACAGAAAACAAGGAGTAGGCGTGGCTGCAGGAGCAGGAAGGAGAGTGATCGCCTCCTTCATCATAGGTTTGGAGCAGAGAATGAACCAGAAATGCTCCAGTCTTCAAACTCTTCAAGCCTACCTCCAGTGACATCCTTCCTCCACCAGCCACACCTCCTAAACCTCTCCAAGGAGCACCACTAACTGGGGACCAAGTGTTGAAACACCTGAGCCTGTATTCAAACCACCACAGCTTGTTTCTTGGTAGAGAGTAACCAAAATATCTTGAATTTCTCATGTCTTCCAGTTGGCAGTTTTTACTCAGGAATGCATTTCAAAGGACCCTTTACAAAATTGTGGCTTTTGTCACCTGAAATGTATTTGTTTATTCTACTTTCCATATTTGTAAGTTCATACACGTGTACACATGTATGAAATATGATACATACACCCCAGTTTCTCCACTTCAGCTCCCCCTAGCATGTATCTCCGCAACTTCATTTTTTTTCTTTTTTGATAGCCCACTAAGCCCAGTTAGTATTACTGGTACATCATAGGTATGGGGCGATCCATTGTAACACAGGAAACTGACCAGTGGGAACACCCTCAGAACAAAAGATTCTCTCTCCCTGAGCAGAGCAGCCATCAGTGCTGATAGCTCCCTAATAAGGGGTGGGGCCTGGAGAGCTGCTGCCCATCTGTGCTGGCATTCTCTCCGCCTTGACCTTGTTCAGGGACCCACAGCTGCTGTGATTCGTGGGTGAGTGAGGTGGTCATGTGGTGTCCAGCAGACAGCATTCCACAGCTCTCACCGCGTCCTCCAGCTCCAGCAGTCTTCCCACCTCTTCTGAGCCTTAGGGGAACGGAGGGCGGTGTGGTAAAGACGTCCTCTTTAGAGCCTCTTCTTGCCACTTGGACCAACTGAAATTTATTATAACAGGCGGCACTGCTTACTGTCGTTCTGTTGATTTAGTGTCACTGTCAGCTGTATTGTATTTAATCAGCCGTACTATCACTTGATAACCATAAGTGGTGTTTAGGAGTAATGTAGCTTCTTAACAAAAGTGTTGCTTAGTACATGTTAGCCTATATCTCCAGGGACACGGAGTGAATACCAAGCGTAGACCCAAAGAGAGATAGTTTTAGACATTGGCAAATTCAGAAACTCCCAAATGAGTCAAAGGCCACCTGATGTAGAAAATTATTAAAACTTGAGTCCAGAGATATTCTGCTAGTAGAATTCACTCTTGGGGGTAGGACAGATTTTTTTTTTTTTTTAACCCTGCCAAGACCTCAACTGATCGAAAAGGTTCACCTGAATTAGGAAGGATACTCTGTCTTATTCAAATTCTCCTAATTTATAACTGGGGTAAAGTGCGCTGTACAATGTCCAGTCCTAAGTCTGAGCCGCAGCAGCTTTGTGAACCTGGGCATGATGGTATAGGCCTGTCCACACAGAGATAGACAGATCCCTGGGGCTTGGCAGCCAGCCGGGCTAGCCTGCTTGGGGAGCTCCAGGCCTTTCTCAGAAAACAAGGTGATGGCTTCTGAGGAACAACCCCAAAAGTTGGCCTCTGGTTTCTGCGTGCAGGTGCACATACATGTGGACCCTCCACATACACACGTGCATGCATACATGTGGACCCACCACATGCAGATGTGCACACATGCACACACATATATTCATGTCTTCCTGATTAAAATGTCAGTGCCAACTAAAATACCTTCATAGAAAGACCTAGAGTGATGTTTGGCCAAAGATCTGGGTACCATGATCCAACCAAGTTACCACATAAAATTAATCATCAAACTTACATTCAATTCCTTTTTATGGAACCATTGAAGCCTTGTTCACAAAATTGTCAAAGGAGACTGAATTTAGAAAATTGTAGTATTACATAGTTACAAATGGTAAGACTCTGACTTAAAAAAAAAAAAAAATGGATCCTGTTCATCCAAAGGAATACTTACAGAAATTGCATAGAAAAGCTGACTGTTAATATCCCTTAATCAGAGATTAAGTAGAAAAGATTCATAAGAGAAGAAAGAAAGTTCAGTGAAAAAGAAATAAAGAATGATGAGAGTCTCCAGAAAGAGCAAAGCTCTCTGTTTCTCTGCCCCCTTGGTGTGGGATGACTTGATTCTTTAGTCAGAAAGTGAACTGAACCCTGGAGTTTTGTAGGGAGTGAGCAGAGAGAATGAAAGAATGGCATGAGAGTTAGGAAAAAAGGCAATAAAAACACTTTGGTTTATAGAACAAAAAGCAGTAGGTTATATTGAACCCTGTGGCAGGGACAATTTTTTTTTCAGTGTATCACACTTTCCTATCTGTAGAGATGGAAACATAAGACTGTGACATGAAATTATAGAGGAATTCCCTCTGCCTAGTAGAGAGCTCTTGTGAATCAAATCATCCCACACCAGGAGGGCAGAGAGAGCACGCTGCTCTTTCTGGCTACTCCCATTATTCTTTCTTCCTCTTTCACTGAAGTTTCATCTTTTATGAATCTTTTCTGTTTAATATCTGTGATCTCAAGAGATTGCCAGTCTGCTTTTCTATGCAATTTCTATGTTTTCTTTACTACTATTTGCTATTTATTTCCTGCTTCTTTTGTTTTTCATTATGTCTCCATAATTCAAGAAACAAAGAAATATAGATCATTAAGATATTACTTATGAAAAACGATGAGATTATAAATATGTGCTACCATGCCTGGCATTTATGTGGGCACTGAGAATCTAAACTCCTGATGCTTGCTCAACAAGCATTTTCTCCAGTGAGCCATGCCCACATCCCCCACAACCGTTTGTGTGCATGTGTATAAGTCGTGTGTGCGTGCGTGCGTGCGTGCGTGCGTGCGTGCACATTTCCTGTCCTGGTGAAAGCCAGAGGCCATTCAGTGTCAGGTCTCTTCCTTGGTTGCCCTCCATTGTACTTTTTGAGACAGGGTTTCTCACTGAACTAATTAAATACATCCTGAGACTCAACAGTTTTTCTTCCCAAGCAAACCACTATAGAGAAGGCATGGACTGAGCATCCTAACACGTAATCTATAATACCTTGTCTCATATTTGCCACATGGGTCCATCATGCCACACCAAGCACCAGCAGAGCTCATTTTGAAGTTTTTGACCCTGGTAACTTTTCTGGATCTGCTTGTTTGCTAGTCTACTTATCAGTGCTAATGCTTGCTTTGTTTAATTTTACAACTTTATTTCAGTAAATTGCTTAGGAAAAGAAATCTTATAACTTACTCCTTGGTGTGGAAGGGGTATTTAATTCATTTCCTAATTTTTTTAAATAACTAAGTTATTTCTAAGATATAAGAATAGTTTTGTTGTTGTTGTTGTTGTTGTTGTTGTTTTTTATTGGAAATATTGAGAAAATGGATTCCAAGCTTCCATGGGCCCTTTTGACTAGAAAGAGACCGCAGAGTGGAGTTGACTGAATCCCGCATGTTCAGTTTGGCAGTTACAGAGTTTTACAAATTTTAACAGTTTTATGACATAAAAAAAGTATGGACCAAAAGGTTGCAAGTTTTAGAAAATTCATGAAATGCTAGTTCTGTATTGGGCTAATTTTAATGCTATATGAAATATTTGATTAAGGCTTTTCTTGGTGTTTCTTTTGCTTATTTTTTAATAGGTCGGCACAGCTGGTTATACTTCACTCAACAAGAGCAGTTTTAATAATGAAGAAAGTGGCCGAGATGTCCTAGAGAACACATTTTCTCAGAAACATAAAGAACTATCTGTTTTATTAGCAGAAATGAAAGAAGCCCAAGAGGAAATCGCATTTCTTAAGTCCCAGCTGCAGGGCAAGAAGCCTGAGGGGGACTATGAGCTCCTTGACCAGAAAGAAGTGAAGCTGATGGAGAGTGAAGGTCTGCCCTCAGTTATAGCGGGAGATAGCCTCTGTAAGGAGAGCAGCATCCCAGCAGCTGAAAAAGAGGAACAGGCAAGTGCTGAAGATCAGCAGCAAACATCTGAGGCAGGGCCTCTAAATGATGCTGGAATGGACCTGAAATCCCCAAAGCTGGATAGTACAGACAAATCTTCCCCTGTAGATATTTGCCAGTGTCACCAGGGAGAATTAGAAAGGCTGAAGACTCAAGTATTGGAGCTTGAGACAGGCCTTCATAAAGCAGAAGACATTTATGAGAAAAATTTAGAAGAGAAAGCTAAGGAAATTAGCAACCTAACCCAGCTCATGGAAGAACTGAAGGAGAGTGCTGAGGGTGCCCGCAGCAAGCTCACTGCTGTGTCTGAAGAAAGAGACCAGCTGCTTTCCCAGGTGGAGGAGCTCCATGTCTTAGCAGAGCTTCGGGCTCAGGTCCAGGAACTGGAAACCAGCCTTGCAGAAGCAGAGAAGCAAAGAGGTCTGGATTATGAAAGCCAGAGGACTCAGCACAGCGTGCTCACAGAGCAGATCCACAGCCTAAGCGTAGAGGCCAGGTCTAAAGATGTGAAGATCGAAGCTCTCCAGAGAGAGCTGGATGATCTGCAGCTACAGTTTTCTGAGCAGGGCACCCAGATAAAAAGCCTGCAGAGCCAGCTGCAGAAGAAGGAAAGGGAAGTGCTCGAGGGGGCAGAACGGGTGAAGGACATGTCAAATGAGATGGAAGGACTATCCCAAGCTCTTTCGCAGAAGGAACTGGAAATAGCCAAAATGAACCAGCTCTTACTAGAGAAAAAGAAAGATGTGGAGACACTCCAGCAAACCATCCAGGAGAAGGATCAGCAAGTGACGGAACTCAGCTTCAGTATGACAGAGAAAATGGTGCAGCTTAACGAAGAAAAGTTTTCTCTCGGGGTTGAAATTAAGACTCTGAAGGAGCAGCTCAATTTATTGTCCAGAGCTGAAGAAGCAAAAAAAGAGCAGGTAGAGGATCATGGAGGTGATTCCAACCTTAACCATAGTCACGATGAGTCACCAGTGGGGCTGGTGAGTAAAGAGGGGCTTCAGCAGGAACTGGAGTGCCTGAAGAAAGAGAGCGAGCAGAGAAAGCGGAAGCTCCAGGCAGCGCTTATTAACAGAAAGGAGCTACTCCAGAGAGTCAGCGCTCTGGAGGAAGAGTTAGCCAAGGTGAAAGAGGAGTCTAGGAAAGAGACTCCACTCAGAGAGAGTGAGAGGAGAAAGCTGGAGGAAGATGGAGAGAACAAAGATGACCGAGAAAAATGTGAGACCTCTAAGTGGCAAGAAATACAAGTTTCTTTAAAACAGACAATATCCAAAAAAGAAGTGGAACTAGAGCACGTAAGGAGAGATTTGAAAGAAAAGATAGCAGCGGAAGAAGAATTACAGGCTGTGGTTCAACAGATGAATCAGAGCTTGCAGGAGAAGACCAAGCAAATAGATTTGCTTCGAGCTGAGATCACTGAAAACCAAGCAACTATTGAGAAATTAGCCACAGGCAATAAGGATGCTGGGCATGGAGACGCTGCAGCGCCTGCAAAAGAAATGGTGGTGAGCAGCCCACCCAGTGCAGGTGGTGGGGAACACGGTAAGCCAGAGTTGGAGGGAAAGATACTAGACCTTGAAAAGGAAAAGGAACAACTCAAAAAGAAGCTCCAAGAAGCCTTAACTTCCCGCAAGGCAATTCTAAAAAAGGCACAAGAGAAAGAGAAACATCTGAAGGAAGAGCTCAAAGAGCAGCAGGATGCTTACTGTCGCCTCCAGGAACACTTTGATGAGCAGAGGAAGGAAAATGAGCACATCGGGGACCAGCTAAGGCAGCTGCAGTTGCAAGTGCAGGAGTCTGTGGACACACAGCTCCCGGGCACTGACCAGCAGGAGCCTGGTCTGCTGGCACAAGGGTTAGAAGGAATTTCGCTCGAAGATAAAGAACAGCAGCCCACCCAGCCTGCCTTCGAGTCTGATTTAGGCACAACTCGGCCTTCTCACCCCGGAGAGACAGCAGCTCTCCAGGTTACTGTTTCTATTGCCCAGATTAAGGCCCAGTTGAAAGAAATGGAGGTTGAGAAAGAAGAGCTGGAATTGAAAGTTAGTTCTGCAGCAAGTGAGCTGATTAAAAAGTCAGAAGAAGTGCTTCTATTACAAGAGCAGATAAGCAAACAGGGTATAGAAATCCAGAATTTGAAGGCAGCATCCCATGAGGCAGAGGCCCACATGGAAAGGCTGAAGCAGGAACTGGAAAGCAGTCAACTAAAACTTGCTAGCCTGGAACATCTGAAAACTCTTCAGCCTGAGCTAGACGAACTGCAGAAGCACCTCCGCCAGAAGGAAGACGAGGTCAGCTGTCTTTCTGGACAGCTTAGTGAGAAAGAGCAGACCCTCAGCACAGTACACACAGAGATGATGGAGCAGGAGAATTTAATCAAGGCCCTGCACACACAGCTGGAAATGCAAGCCAAAGAGCACGAGGAGAGGCTAAAGCAGGTCCAGGTGGAACTTTGTGAACTGAAGCAGAAGCCAAACGAAGCTGAGGAAGAAACTAAAGCAAAGCAACAAATTCAGAGGAAACTGCAGGCTGCCCTCATCTCCCGAAAGGAGGCACTCAGAGAAAACAAGAATCTGCAAGAGGAGTTGTCTTTAGCCAGAGATGCCATTGAACGCCTGACCAAGTCTCTGGCAGATGTAGAAAGCCAGGTTTCTGTTCAGAATAAAGAGAAAGATGCACTCCTAGGGAAGTTAGCCATTCTTCAGGAAGAAAGAGACAAACTCATTGTAGAAATGGACAGGTCTTTACTGGAAAATCAGAGCCTTGGTGGCTCTTGTGAAAGCCTAAAACTAGCTCTGGAGGGTCTTACTGAAGACAAGGAAAAGCTGTTGAAGGAGCTTGAATCTTTAAGATGTTCTAAGATTGCAGAGAGCAACGAATGGCAAGAGAAACACAAGGAACTGCAGAAGGAGTATGAAGTTCTTCTGCAGTCCTACGAGAATGTGAGCAATGAAGCAGAAAGGATCCAGCACGTGGTGGAAAGCGTGAGGCAAGAGAAGCAAGAGCTTTATGGGAAATTACGAAGCACAGAGACAGACAAGAGAGAGACAGAAAAGCAGCTGCAGGATGCAGAACAGGAAATGGAAGAGATGAGAGAAAAGATGAGAAAGTTTGCTAAATCTAAACAACAGAAGATCCTTGAGCTGGAGGAAGAAAATGACCGGCTTAGAGCAGAGGCCCAGCCTGTAGGAGGAGCCAAAGAAAGCATGGAAGCTCTTCTCTCTTCCAATTCTAGCTTGAAGGAGGAACTAGAAAGGGTCAAATTGGAGTATAAAACCCTGTCTAAGCAGTTTGAGGCTTTAATGGCAGAGAAAGACATTCTGAGTGAAGAGATTCAAGAGCTAAAGCATCAGGTAGAAGATCATGTACTGAAACAAGCTAGCCTAGAGGCAACTGAGAAATCCGATGAACAGAAGGATATCATTGAAGATGTAACACAAGCTGTGGTGGGCAAGTCTCAAGAGCAAGACTCACAGAGATTCAGTGCTAAGCTTGAAGATCCGGAAGCTGTTCCATCAGCTCACAGTGCCAAGTCTGGCATTGGTGAGACTTTCGGCTCCCACGATGACATCAATAACTACCTACAGCAGCTTGATCAGCTTAGGAGAAGAATTGGTGAATTAGAGGTGGAGCAACAGAAGGAAAAGGAACTTAGCCAGACTTTAGAAAATGAGAAAAATGCCCTATTGAGTCAACTCTCTGCAAAAGATGGTGACCTAAAGCTACTTGAGGAAGAAGTCGCCAAAATAAGCATGCAAAATCAGCAAATCCAAGAAGAACTCTCCAGAGTTACCAAGCTGAAAGAGACGGCAGAAGAGGAGAAAGATGACTTAGAAGAGAGGCTGATGAATCAACTGGCAGAACTTAATGGCAGCATTGGGAATTATTACCAGGATGTTACAGATGCCCAGATAAAAAACGAGCAACTGGAATCCGAAATGCAGAACCTTAAAAAGTGTGTGAGTGATTTAGAAGAAGAAAAGCAGCAGCTGGTCAAGGAAAAAAGCATGGTGGAGTCAGAAATACGAAAGGAGTTTATGGAGAAGATACAGGGTGCCGAGAAAGGGCCTGGCAATAAAAGCCATGCCAAGGAGCTCCAGGAGCTGTTGAAAGAAAAACAGCAAGAGGTAAAGCAACTGCAGAAGGACTGCATTAGGTACCAAGAGAAGATCAGTGCTCTGGAGAAGACGGTCAAGGCTTTAGAGTTTGTTCAGGCTGAATCCCAAAAGGATTTGGACGTAACAAAAGGGAATCTGGCGCAAGCTGTTGAACAGCGCAAAAAGGCACAAGCAGAATTATCTAGCTTCAAAGTGCTGCTGGATGACACCCAAAGTGAAGCCGCGAGAGTGCTGGCAGACAACCTCAAACTGAAGAAGGAACTTCAGGCAAACAGAGAGTTCGTCAAGAGCCAGATGAAACAAAAAGATGAAGCCCTCCTGCGCCAACTCGAGCAGGCAGAAGAGAAACACCTGAAAGAGAAGACAAGCACCCAAGAGGAGCTGCATGCTCTGCATAAGGAGAAGGCCCACGTGGAAGACACACTTCTGGAAGTCCAGGCCACACTGACCAGGAAAGACAAGGAAATGAAGCAGCTGCAGGAGAGCCTGCACAGCACTGTAGCCCAGCTCGCAGCCTTCACTAAGAGCATGTCATCCCTCCAGGATGACCGTGACAGGGTGATCGATGAAGCTAAGAAATGGGAGCAGAAATTTGATGATGCCATTCAAACCAAAGAGGAAGAGATCAGACTCAAAGAGGAGAATTGCAGCGTTCTAAAGGATCAGCTTCGACAAATGACCATCCATGTGGAGGAATTGAAGATCAACATCTCCAGGTAAGCAACAAAGCCTTTCCCCACAGAGAAAATGGTGAAGGCAAAGAAAGTTTTCAAACTGCTTTTATTGGTTTCAGTATTTCACTTATTTATTTATTACTGAACCAATTTTTGCTTTAAATTCCCTTAGAGCATATGTCCTTTCCCTTCTGATACTTTTTGCCATTTTTAAAACTTCTTGTTATGATTTTGTATTAGCATTAAATCATTAACATAAAATCGCTGACATCTTTTCCCCATATCTCTTCCTTCCAATTTCATTTCTGGATTTCTTGACAACCTGACTACCTTTGTCTAGATTTCTACCTGCTTACACCCAAAGGATTGCTTCAGTGTGCTAAGTGCTCCTCTCCTCTCTCTCCGCCACTGTTGGTGTCAACTATCCTCTGTATGTCAGTTGGAAATCCCATCCTCAGACTCTAGAATGTCACCTTTGAAGGTCAGGAACCCACAGTGACTCAACCCTTTGCTCCTCCCCTTCTGTTTCCTTACCGTTTCTTTTGCCAGGATTAGAGCTTTAAAGAAACTGGACATTAAAAAGAAGAAAAAAACAGAAACTGGACATTAGCTTGTCTGGAGCAAAGTAGAATAAAATAGGGGGGTTGGGAGCTGATTTACTTTTCAGTGTCTTAAACTGGATCGCTGAAATAAAAAAAAAAAACAGTTTCATGATTCAGAGCTCTGTGATATGTCTTTAATATGTTATTTTTCTGTGTGGTCAATACATGTGTATAGATACAGAGAACTAAGATTTTTATTAAACCGCCAATCATGAATATTGACTGACTCGTAGATCAGTTTTGTGTAAGTCATATAGTTAATATCTCTACTTTTTTCCCTCCTTCCTTCTCCCTCCATCCTTCTCCCCCACCTCTGTCCCCATTCCCCAGGCTTGAACATGACAAGGAAACTTGGGAGTCCAAGGCCCATTCAGAGCTCCAGCATCAACAGAAGGTTTGTGATAACCTTCAAGGGGAAAATAAAGAACTTATGGCCCAGCTGGAAGAAACTCAACAACTATACCACAATTCTATGAATGAACTAACTAGGTTGGAATCAGAACTCAAGAATCTCAAAGACCAGTCAACTGATTTAAATAACTCTTTAGAAAAATGTAAAGAACAGAAAGAAAGCTTGGAGGGGATCATAAAGCAGCAAGATGCTCATATCCAAAATCGCAAGTTCAGCCATGAGCAACTCGAGACTGATCTGAAGACCTCCAGAGAGCTAACCGCTAGGCTGCATGATGAAATCAACGAGAAGGAGCAGAAGATTATAAGCCTGCTTTCTGGCAAGGAGGAGGCAATCCAAGGAGCTGTGGCGGAACTGCGCCAACAACACAGTAAAGAAGTCAAGGAGCTAGAAAACCTCCTGTCCCAGGAGGAACAGAAGAATGCGGCCCTAGAAGAGGAAAACAGAAAGGCTGTTGAGAAAACCAGTCAGGTCATGGAAACTCTAGAAACCATCAAGAAGGAGAATTCTGAGCAGAAGGCACAGCTGGATTCCTTCGTTAAGTCTATCTCCTCTCTCCAGGACGACCGAGACCGCATAGTGAGTGACTATCAGCAGCTGGAAGAGCGACATCTCACTGTCATCTTGGAAAAAGACCAGCTCATCCAAGACGCTGCTGCTGAGAACAATAAACTGAGGGAGGAGATCCGAGGGCTGAGAGGTCACATGGATGATCTCAACTCCGAGAATGCCAAGCTGGATGCTGAGCTGGTCCAGTACCGGCAGGACCTGAAGGAGATGATAGCCATCAAGGACTGTCAGCAAAAGCAACTCCTTGAGGCTCAACTACAGCAGAACAAGGAGTTGAAAAGTGAATGTGCAAAATTAGAAGAAAAGCTGAAGGGGTCAGAAGACGCAAAGCAAAGCCTACAAAGGTTTTCTGATGCCCTCCAAGAGGAGAAACAAGGTTTGTCTAAAGAGATCGAGAACTTGACGAGACAGGTGACAGCCTTGCAGGAAGAGGGTACTGTAGGAATCTATCTTGCCCAACTGAAAGTAAAAGAAGAGGAGGTTCAGCAGTTAAATGTGGCACTCTCCTCTTCCCAGAAGAGAACTGCGGATCTGGAAGAGGAGTTAGTTTGTGTTCAGAAGGAAGCTACCAGGAAGGTAAGTGAAATCGAGGAGAAGCTGAAGAAGGAGCTGAAGCACCTCCATCATGACGCAGGGATAATGAGGAATGAAACTGAAACAGCAGAAGAGAGGGTGGCAGAACTGGCGAGAGATCTGGTCGAGATGGAGCAGAAGTTACTTATGGTAACTAAAGAGAATAAAGATCTTACAGCACAGATTCAGTCCTTTGGAAGGTCAATGAGTTCCTTGCAGGACAGCAGAGATCATGCCACTGAGGAGCTTAGTGACCTGAAGAAGAAGTATGATGCCAGTCTCAAGGAGCTGGCCCAGCTGAAAGAGCAGAAGGATTTAGGCAGAGAGAGTGACATCCTTTCCCAGGCTGCCTTTCCTCTGACCACCGCTGAGAACGGCTTGTCCCACATTGAGAAACTGAACCAGCAGCTCATGTCCAAAGACGAGCAATTGCTTCACCTATCTTCACAACTAGAAGATTCTTACAACCAAGTGCAGTCCTTTTCCAAGGCCATGGCCAGTCTGCAGAATGAGAGAGATCACCTGTGGAGTGAGCTGGAGAAATTCCGGAAGTTGGAGGAAGGGAAGCAGAGGGCTGCAGCTCCTTCATCTGCCTCCAGCTCAGCTGAAGTACAGAGCTTGAAAAAGGCCATGTCTTCACTCCAGAACGACAGGGATCGATTAGTGAGTGTCCATTTCAGATCTGTGTTTCAGAGGTTTGGGGATGTTCTTTACATTGGTTCTTATTTCCATAGAAAAAGATAAATGTTTCTGTTTGTAAAGCCTTTGTATAAAATCACCAGCATTGCTGCACATTCCACAGATGGTTTGGGGCTGACAGGAAGCAGACATGCCACTACCACTTTCAGCCCTGAGGACTCTTCTTTGCACAGAGTCTGCATTGGTTATAAAGGATTAAAAGATAACAAGCTGTTTTGCACATCCTGTAAATGGTTCCAGAATGGAAAGCAGGCTAGTTGGAAGAAAGCACAGGGTCAGTTGTTCAGTGTCTTCTCAGTGGCAGTTGAGCCCTTGATCATCTGCTACATCAGGATAGTAAGGATTGGCTTGTCAACCCTAACTTGTCAAGAAAGAAGTTAAGTGTAAAAGGGATTTCTTAAAGTGTCACTAGACATGGCAGCACTTTGGAGGATGGTCTGAGTTCAAGACAAGCCGGGACTACGTAGCTCATGTCAGGCCAGTTTGGGCTATGTAGTGAGGCTGTCTCAAAAACAGTTCTTAAAATCACTATTCAGTCACTAATTGTTTGCAAACAAACTAGTGCCCGTTTCCTCCTTTCTTCCTATCTTTATTTTCCACTACAGGAGTTGATCCCAGGGCTCATAGATGCTAGGCAAGCCCTTTACCTCTGGGCTGCATCCCTAGCCCGGTTCATATATTTTGAGACAGACTGTTGTAAGCTACTCACGCAGATGTTAAAACTCAGGATCCTCCTTCCTCTACTGCCTACATAGATATGATTGCAGCTACACAACACCATGCCTGTTCCTGCTCACTTCCTTTAAATTAACCTTTTCAGAAATGAAGAGAGAGCTTGTCTTGTACCTGAGTTCCATTCACAGAGCCCTTGTTTAGAAAAGCCGTACAGGGTGGTCCTTGAAACTCACTGGCCATTCAGACCAGCACCAGGCCAGGGAGAGGCTCTGTCTCTAAGACAGACAGACAAAGTGCTTGCTGCCCAAGCATGAAAACCTGTGTTTGGATACCCAGCACAGCATAAAAAAAGCCAAGCGTAGAGCACATACATGTGATCCCAGTGCTACACGAAGATGGGCAGAACCCTGGAGCCCACTGTCCGGCCAGCCAAGCCAAACTGGTGATGTCCAGGTTCAGTGAAGAAATAACAGACCCTGTCTCAAAACATGAAGAGAAATAGAGGCATTCACCTGATGTCAACCTTTGGCCTGCATGTGTCCGAGCACCTCCACCAGTGGTTCTCAGCCTTCCTGATGCTGCAACCCTTTAATATAGTTCCTCATGTTGTGGTGACCCCAACCATAACTTGTCTTGTTGCTGCTTCATAACTGTAATTTTGCTACTGTTAGGAGTCATAATGTAAATACCTGTTATGCAGGCTCTCTGATACGTTATCCCGGGATGAGAACTTTAACTCCTGACCTACACATACATATGCACACACTCACTTGAAAACACAATTAAAGCAAAAGGCTGCATGGCCTCAGAGGAACACACCTAAAGCTGTCCCCTGGCTCCCAGGTAGACACAGGCACACATATACACATGTGCCTGCACCCACGTGGACGTGCACACAGTTGATACACATTTGGGCCATTCTACCATTCTTTGTGTTCTAAGCCAAAATCCGTTTCCTGAGTGGTTTCAGCAGGTGCAGAGTCAGCAGAGTTAGCTGTGCATCGTTGGGGGACTTGCTTACTTACGTGTGTGCACTGTAAACACTGGACACTGCATCTTGTTCTCTCAGCCCCACCTGCACACTTGTCTACTGACCATTGATGAGCCAAACCTTTTTTTAAAAGTTATTTCCCAATTCTGTAACGTGCAGTGATACTCTGTTTCTAAAACTGTCACTCTGGTGTTATTCCATCTAACCATCAAGTATTTTATTCTGTTCAAATATCCATCCATTCACCTTCAGCATCCGGTGGTAAGCTTCTTTACGTTCACATTTGTAACAGTACCGCCTCCAGCGTGTAACCCCTCTAATAGATAAGCGTTCTCCTGGAAACTCTTCTTTTCTTAGGACTGCCCTGCCCAGGACGCTTGGAGAGGAACATGGTGGGCTGGAAGAGTCTTCTCTTGGTCTGCCACTCAAGACCTGTGATTCCTCATCTTCCAGCTTTGTCCTTTTTCCTCAGCATGCAGGCCACCTCCTCAGCACACAGTGCGCACAGCTAGCGTATCCGACCCACATTGCCATCCTGTTGGCTGGAGTGTCTTCCTCACGGCTTTCTTTTGGGGGGTCATTCCAGAGCTCAGATCCTCTTGCCACACTTGCCTGTTGCCTGATCCTGTTTTGCCTCCCCATGTCTCAAGTACTTGTCTTACCATTTGCCTCACGTTGCCTGCGCACAAGTGCCTGGGCCACTGAGGCATCTCACCAGCACTCCGCTCCATCTTCTGACCCCATTTGATGTTTTTGTTTTTGCCATCATGTTGTTTTACTTGTATTTATTTCATGTGTATGGGCATTTTGTCTGTGTGTGTGTGTGTGTGTGCATGCGTACCACGTGCTTGTCCTCGGATGCCCTCAGACTGTGGTTATAATTGTGAGCTGCCATGTGGCTGCTGGAAATAGAACCAGGGTTCTCTGGAAGAGCAGACGGTGCTCCTAACCACTGAGCCATCTCTCCAGCCCTGTTCTTTATTTGCAAGAACTTCCTTTTTTTTCTTGTTTATTATGTGTTTTCTTGTTTTATGGGTAGATTGTCTAATTTGTGGTGTTTTGCTTTGTTGGTATTTAATTTATGTGTCTGTGTCTGTGTCTGACACATGCAGGTGAGGGCATCAGAATTACAGACAATTGTGAGCTGCCCAACATGGGAATTGAACTGGAGTCCCCTGGAATTGCAGCAAGAGCTCTTAACTGCTAAGCCGTCTCCTATCTTGTTCTTGAAACAAGGTCTTATTATATAGCTGAGGCTGGCCTAGAAGATTCTGTGTAGTCCAGGCTGACACCAAACTTAAAGTCTTTCTGCACCAGCCTCTCAAAGTCCAGGATTACAGGCGTGTGCCTCCGTAACTGACTCAGACTTCTTTTAGTGAGTTTTGGTTTTTGTTTGTTTTTTGTAATTTTTTTCTTGCTGCTATAATGTTTCTGATCGCTAGCATTCTCTCTTAATCGCATGTGATTTCCCTCTCCTGATGTGTTGAATCACCCTCTTTCAGCAGTTGCTCCTCATCCCTCATCTTAGCCTTTCTTTAGACAAAGAGCAATCATTGTTTCTTCCTCACACGAACAGCAGAATCTAAAAAGCCTGTGGAGTGAACTAAAAAGCCTGCCAGTGAACTCACTTGGTGTGGGTTCACTGCGGTGTGATCTTGTTGAGCTTGTTGATCGTGGTCCCCAAGTTTGTGTCTTTATTTCCTCGGGGTCTGATCAGATCTTTGAGAGCTCTTTAGTCTCCTGTGTAGAAGGAAACCGGCGGGTAGTGCTCATGGCGATGTCACCTGTCTCTGTTATTGTAGAGCTGTGCTCTTACTTACAGCCGGGCCTGTTTCACACTCCAGGTCTACATCCTTTACCTTTTCTAGAGTCAGCTAGCCATTCAGTGAAGGCACCAAAATGTCAGAACTGAGAGGGGTTTACAATGCAATTCCTTCTGAAGTAGCTCTGCTCCAATCATCCTTCTCTCAGCTCCTGGCTCCCCTCAACTATCGCCATTTTTTCCAGAGGTGGCTGGTGCTTTAATTCCTGGGCCCTTTGAAGATGCTGCAGAGTAAGTTTTGTTAGTCCTTGGCTTCTTGACCACCAGCTGAAGATGCAGCACCCAGATGTGTTAAGTTAGTCACCATCATTCATCTGCTTTTCAGCCTCAAGACTATGTTGCTGCTGACCTTTGTTGTCTTCCGTTCTTGTGTTTGGTGCTTTAAAAAGCTACCAGTGTGGCAGCACTAATATTTCTGAGTGGGTGAAAGGTGTGTAAGGCTGTTGTCTTTCCCAGATGTCCCAATATTATTTCTTCATCAAACTTTGAGTATTGGTAAAGAGTTTTAAAATAGAATGCAGTTTTGCTACAGACAAGTCCATCATAATATCCATTAACTTTGTGTATGAAACATATTAATTTTCTTATTTAATTTTCATATTCTTGTGAGGAAAAGTGCTGTGATTATCCTCATTTAATAGGTGAGGAAATAAGAACTTCGATGATCTCACATCGAAGAAATGGTAAGACATCTAATTCTAGAGCCAGGCGCCCCTAACCACCGGGGTGCACACCTTCTTTGTAGTGGACATCAGCTCAGCCTAAGACTGAAGTCCAGCAGGGATGCGTAAAACAAACAAACAGCATCAAAGAAAACGTTGCTGCTGTTTATGCAAGAAAGACGCCTGAGGAGGGCACATGGCTCAACGGACAGTCGATCGTTTCCCAGTCACAGTGAATCTGAAGGTCCTTTATGGCTGTCTCAGGAGTTGTAGCTTTGGACTTTGGAGGCTGTAAGGGTGGCAGTAAAAGGGATGGTTAGGCCAGGTAGTGCTAATGGCAGTTCCTTGGCTGTCAGTGGACTGTGGGAAGGTGCTGACAGCCTGTGGGGCCTGTCGCTCCTGTGGTGACAGTAGGAGCTACTGGTCAGTAAGGAATGAGAAGTGAGTCACCCGTTGCTCTGGTCTGGTTAAAGCTGAAGGAGCTGAAGAATCTGCAGCAGCAGTACCTACAGATGAACCAAGAGCTCACGGAGGTACGGCCCCTGAAAGCGCAGCTGCAGGACCATCAGGATCAGGCAAAGGCCCTGCAGGTGATGAAGGAGGAACTGAGGCAGGAAAGCCTCTCCTGGCAGCATGAGCTGCATCAGCTCAGGTAGGACTGTCCCTGCATTTTGACCCTTTTAATTGTCTTTTATCATTTTATCTTGAAATAGTTACGGATTTATAGAACGCTGCAGGAATAGTAAGAGTGCTTGGATAGGCATTGCCCCGTTTCCCCATGAGAGCACCCAGTTACACACCACACCCGGCTCCTTTATGTATAACAAAGAAATAGCCGGTGTTCAGTGGGCCACTCTTTACCAAATTTGGGGAATAAGTAAATCAAAATAACTAGTGTTTATTCTTTAACGGTTAATATGTGCTGGGCTTGGTATTTGATGTATGCCGTCTCATTTAGTCCATGTAATAGTCTTAAGGAATAACTAGTTTATTCTACTTTATTGAAGAAACTTGGTGACATTAACATTTGCTTGGGTCTCATACCTACTATGTGCAAGAGCCAGAATTCTAAGTCGTGCAGAGTCGACACTGATGTTAATTCTGCATCGTGGGCATGACTGCTGCAGGACTATGGGGGTTTCCCATGCCCTGCATGGTCTCACTGTCCTCATTCCATACATATCTGCTCCACACGCTGACTCCTACAATTCTGAACTTCATCCTCTGCATTTGTACTGGTGCCCGGGATTGAGCTTTCACACTGATTTTTTAATTGCTTTTCCCATTTGGAAACCCAGCTCTTTGCTCAGGTTCCAAATCCTATGCCAGCCTTTCTGGAGTTTCTCCCTCTCTTCCTGTGTCATCACCTTACTGCACGTTTCCACTTGCAGAATAAATTTCACTCTGCTATGTATTAGTTTCGCTGCATTGCTCACACGTCATGCGAATGTTTTGAATATGGAGTTGTTGTTCTTTGTGTCGTGAGTATATTTGAGCCATTTCTTTCCATGCTGTAGAATGGAGAAGAATTCCTGGGAACTGCATGAGAGAAGGATGAAGGAGCAGTACCTCATGGCCATCTCAGAGAAAGATCAGCAGCTCAGTCATCTGCAGAGTCTCCTGAGGGAGCTGAGGTCTTCCCCCAAGCCTCAGCTTCTCCCAGCACAGTACCAACGACAGGTGAGGCGAGCAGTGTGGTTTCTACTGAGGTGCCACTACCCAAAAGATCAGCCTCCTGTAGCTGCTTATCTGCTACCATTAGGCAAGCCGCCTCCTGCCTTTTTCAGAGGTGGCACATTCTCTTCTAGAGGGGAGGATTTAAATCTGAGCAATCTTTTTTGTGTATATGCTTCTTCTCTTTTTTAATTTTTTTTGAAAAATTTTTTTTAATTTAATCACTTTATAGCCTAATCCTAGTTCCTCCCTCTTCTCCTCCCAGTCCCACCCACATGAACCCCTCCTCCCATCCCTCCATCTCATTCTTCTCAAAGAAGGGTAGTCCCCCAAGAGGTACCAACCCACCCTGGCACCTCAAATGCAGGAGGAGTAGGTGCATCTTTCCCACTGAGGCCTGACAAGGCAGCCCAGCAAGGACAAAGAGATCCAGAGGCAGGCAACAGGATCAGAGTCAGACCCTGCTCCCATTGTTAGGGGAGCCACATGATGACCAAGCTGCACACTTGCTATATGTGTGTAGGGAAGGGGTTCTAGGTCCAGTCCATGCATGTTATTTGGATGGAGGTTCAGTCTCTGTGAGCCTCCTTGGGCCCAGGTTAGTTTACTCTGTAGGTCTTCTTGTGGTGGCCTTGACCATTCAGCTCTCTCTATCCTTCCTCCCACTCTTCCACAAAACTCTCCCAGCTTAGCCTATTGTTTGGTTATTGGTCTCTGCATCTGTTTTCATCAGCTACTGGATAAAGCCTCTTAGAAGACTGTTAGGCTAGGCTCCTGTCTGCAAGCATAGCAGAGTATCATTAATAATGTCAGGGGTTGGCTCTCTCCCATGGGCTGGGTCTCACATTGAGCCAGTCTGAGCAATCTTAGGAGACCATTCCAGCGATGTCTGTGCTCTGGCAGGCATCCCCAGAGGCATCAGCTTCCCTCGACGGGTCTCAAAACCTAGTTTATGAAACAGAACTTCTCAGGACTCAGCTCAATGACAGCTTAAAGGAAATTCACCAGAAGGAACTAAGAATTCAACAGCTGAACAGCAAGGTACGTGTTTCCTGTTAGACTGAAATTGAGTTTCTTTTCTCTCCTCCTGGAGGTAAAATTCGGCACAGGCGCCCCGCTTCAGAAACTTGACCTTCAGAGCAGCAACCATACACAGTCATGGGGGCAATTTTCAGTTACGGAGCACATTTGTGATTATGTGCGGATTCTCTTCTCTGTGTAGCACATGTCTTCCGGGATGCTTCTAGAAAGCTTCCCTAAAACATTGATACTTTATTACACAGACACTTAGAAAAGACTCCTCAAGAAAAGGCAAGACTCGCACAGATCCATCCATTTCCCATGACAAAACCTTTGTGTACTTCTCTGGTGGGTACTTAAGGAGAACATCTCCATGGCTACTAAAACAAAACAAAACAAAAAACAAACAAAAACCCACAATATTTTCTGATTTATGAAACAGTGGCTTTAGCACTCAGGACAGCGGCCCCTCGCCTCACCTGGGCAGCACAGTAGGGCTGGCCCTGGTGGTGGCAGCAGCTCCCCACCCCCACCCCCAGCTGCAGGTGACCCACGAGGGCATGAGTGCTGGAGGGCTGTCCCGGCGTAGATTGCTTTGGCAGGTAGTGAGCTGACTTTGGGCAGGAACAGAGCAGACCACTGCCTGTCACTCAGGAACGAGAGGCAAGCTTGGCTTTGAGCGGCTGCACTGTTTCCACTGTGTGAGGATCTTGGCTCCCACTCCAGTACACGTAGACACATGATGATATCTTGCTGCCCTATTGGAAACATACCTACCCAGTGATGCTCTTACACTTGCTCTGGTTATGTTGAGCTCTAGGGCTTGTTATTTAAGCAAGGACCCAACTCGCTGCCCTCTGCTTGCATTCTGGAATACCCTGTCCTACTGGAATTTTTGTTAGAGGTTTCTGCTTAATCATTGTTGAGTTCATAGACCTTGGCACCACTAAAAATAAAAGTTTGCTGCTACTCTTCCAGAATTGTTTTCCTTTTATGGTTGAAACATTTAGGCCTTTTTCACTTTGAAGAAATATACCGCGGTATGATTCTAGGGTAGGTCTTGCATTCCAAATCAAGTCCAGGAAGCTCAGGCCAGTTGGGTAAGCACCGCGCTTGGTGATGTAGTTCTGGGGGTGACACTTACCTGCTCCCCTGCTGCAGTTTTCTCAGCTGCTCGAGGAGAAGAACACCCTCTCCATCCAGCTCAGCGATGCCAGCCAGAGTCTCCGTGAGAACCAGCACCACTACAGTAACCTCTTCAACCACTGTGCTGACCTGGAGAAGCAGGTGCAGGAGCTGCAGGCGGTAAGGCAGCTCGAGAGAAGGCAGGAAGAGGGGAGTTACAAGGGTTAGGGGACGACTCCTAAGAAAAATGACCAAACACTTTGCTAATGACGGGAGAAAAGCGCTAGTGAGATGTGCGGGCAGTGGCTAAGGACTGTCCCTCCCTTCTGCCCTGAGCAGGGTTTCAGTCTGCAGGCACGTGGTACCATACGGGCTTCCATCACAACTCCTAAGCTGCTGCTTTTTCCAGGGGCCCCTAAATGCCGATGTTGCTCCAGGAGCGCCCCAGGAAAAGAATGGAATTCACAGAAAGAGTGATCCTGAGGCCACAAGGGAGCAGCAGCCAAGGTAGAGGAGCAGGACTGCCCCTCCAGCATGTACTGTGTGCAGAGAAACTGAGCGATAGACAAGAGAGATGGGAGTAAACGTGATCTGAGTGCATCCTCGGCATGTGTGGAAACATTGTCATGAAACCTGTGGTTGTGTATGATCCGTGTGTGTCATTTTGAAGAAATTGGTTCTAATCTTGGTGGAAACAGAGTGTGCCATGTGCACTTAGTATGTCCTGTTATCTGACTAGTGTCACAGAAGTGATGTAAAGATTGAGTGTAACAGTAACTAACATACTGTATGTAAGAAGCGGCCAGCAGCTCTAACACAAGCACATACACACAACACCACACTGTTCTGGCAGGGCTGCTGAGAGGGCTCAGTGGTTAAGAGTATTGGCTGCTCTTCCAGAGGTCCTCAGTTCAATTTCCAGCAACCACATGGTGGCTCATGACTATCTGTAATGGGCTCTCATGCCCTCTTCTGGCCTGCAGGTGTACATGCAGACAGAGCACTTTAAAAAACAGCAACAGGAAAAACAACATCTCACATGGTTCCGTAGGTGTTTTCTGCCTTGTTTGCCCTCTGTGGCCATGCCTCTGTGTTGGCTTTCATGTTTGAAGAAACGCTTCCAGCCTTGTGAAGGCGTATTAGAGAGTAGTTCTACATCTAATGATGCCCTTTGCTCGCCTTTTACCCTCAAGCTTTTCTGAAGCCCAGCAGCAGCTGTGCAGCACTAAACAAGAAGTAAGTGAGCTGAAGAAGCTGCTGGATGAAGAGCGAGACCAAAGATGGACGGCTGAGAGTGCGCTCTCCCTGGCCAAGGAGCAGATCAGAAGGTAAGGTGTGGGGAGGCCATTGTCCACTCTTGCCCTTCCTGACCTTGCTCCTGCACATTTGTGTGGCCAGGCTCAGGGTGAGTTGAGATCTTAATCTCCCCATGGCCTGGTCTAATCATGTTTTCATCGTCATCACCAAGAAGCAGGGTACCTCTGAAGTTTCGGGGCCTGGACCTTCTAGGGCAGCAGCTCATAGAGGGTTAATAATATCTTTACCATTCATATTGCACAAGTAAGCTGTGAACGGTGCTTGTGTGTCTGTGTCTGTGCATGTGGGGGACAGGAAGGCCAGGCCAAAGGACCTCTGTTAGCTCTGGCTGGCCTTGAACTCACAGAGGTCCACTTCTCTGCCTCTGCCTCCTGAGGGCTGGGATTAAAGGATTGTTCCACCACCTAGCTAGCCAATTGAAAATTTAAATATTGTAACCTAAGGGAGACAAAACCACTTAAGAAAGAGTGTGACTTGGCTTATTGGCAGATGCACTGCCTACCTCTGACCTTGCGCTGTCAGTCACAGGCTGTACTGGGGGAGTGTCTGCTGGCATCGTGGAAGACTGTTCTGCCCAGCTAGGTGTCATCTGTGTGTGTGACACTGTGGGCAGTTGTCTCCAGGTGTGATTGGAAGGACACAGCTGTGTACTTACTGCAAGTCAAGAAACTTGCTGTGTCTGAGAAGTAGTGTGGCTGCAAGTGTTTTGTTGCCAGAATCCCGTTCATGTGGAAAGAGACATTGTAGCAGGCATCTCCATTATATGTGCCAGGGCAAGCCACTCTGTCTGATGGCTCTTCCCTCAGAATAAATGGCACTGGGGGTGTTACTGCCTCCCTGCCATGCCCTCTCAGGGAGCAGGTCTTGGCTGAGGTTTCTTTCTTTTCCATCCGGCATATTCACAGCTTTTCTGTTTTCAATACCTGTCTAGGTAGCCTTCAGGGTGGGCTCTGCAGGAGCACAGTGAAGCACAGTGAAGCATGGCATCATGGCCTGCTTGCTCATAGCCATTTCTCTGCCGCATAGGAAATGGTTTAGGTCTATGAAACCTGGCCCATGGAGACATTCATTCCCCTCAGGTGTCAGTTATCTGGACAACTTGAGACAGCTTTGTCAGGATGACCCAGAGCCTGTGCCTGGACCAAATTAGTTAGTTAGCCCCGCCCACTTTCCTTCTGGCCAAGAACAGCATGGAGAGCAGGGTAACTAAGTGTGGCCCACCTAGACTGGGTTCAGATGACAGCCTCTCTTCTCTGCTGAGGAAGAGCGGCCCACAGAGAGAAGGAGAGCTGGTGGAGAGCGCCTGCATGGGGAAGAAAAATGCAGAGGAAAGCGGAGGTGCATCCTGTCCACCACAGTTAAAGTGTGTGTCCCGGGAGGCGAATGAGTGATGAGTCACAGCCTTGCTCTGTTGTCTTCAGAGGCCACTGAGTAATGGCAGCTTCTCAGTAAATGGAGGATTTCCAAAATGCAGTAATAAGCAAATCAACAGAAAGGGAAGCGGAGAGCTGTGGAGGCTGCCAGTTCAGCTTCGTTCTGAGAGCCCTAAAGAATGTCTTGAGTGCTTTTGCCTGTTATATATATAATATATATGTTAATGTGCCAAGTGTGGCACGTGCCTGTAAGCCCAGCCCTGGGAAGCAGAGCCAAGAGAACTGTAAATTCAAAGCTAGTTTCAGCTATATAGTAAGCCCCTCTCTCAAAAAAGGGAGTAGGGGAAGAGAGGAGAAAGGGAAAATAGAAATTAGTGAGTTTCTAAACCAGATTGGCACAGGGGGCGTATACAGAACAAGAGTCATAAAGACAAACGGGCATTGAATTCTGTTTGCAGTGGTTGCTGGCCATGCCTCTGTGGACAAGACACTAACCAGTCTTGCCAGCGGAAGCAACCAAGCCAGAGTCCTAAATAGGCAGTTTCTTTACTACTTTGAGGGCCAGGACCGTGGGAGGAGCCTTTGCTGCCAGGCCCCTAGGCCACCTTTCTGGGATGACTGGGAAGATTCTCATCCAGGGAACCCCTGTTGGATCTCCTTCCTCAACACAGGTTGGAGCAGAGTGAGTGGGATTCGGCCCGGACTCCTATCATTGGCTCGTGTGGCTCTCAGGAGCAAGCGCTGTTGATAGATCCCCCAGGCAGCAGCTGTCGACGGGTAAGAGGCAAAGGCTACAGGGTGGGCCCCGTGCTGTGGGGACCGGCTGCAGGGATGGAAGTGGGCAGGGCTGCAGGTGTCCAGCCACTGAGGAGACTTTGGCGAGGATGGGCCCAGCTTGGCTTACATGCAGAATTACTGGTGGAGGAAAAGAGCCTTCAGGAGGAGCTCTGATTTCCCCATTTTTGTTTGTTTGTTTGTTTGTCTCAGACCCGGAATGGTGCAGGATGGAAGCGAGTTCTGCGTTCACTCTGCCATTCCCGGACCCGAGTGCCACTGCTCGCGGCCATCTACATCCTGATGGTTCATGTCCTGCTTGTTCTGTGTTTCACGGGCCACCTATAAACTTGTCGCTTGAGCACAACTCCCGGAACCTGTCATTCCTTCATCTCTAAAATCAGAATTGTCAGTTCCAGAGCAGCCTTTCTCCCTTTCAGCCCGTCCACCTCTCCTCGGAAAGTGCCTGTGAAAACAGGTGGCGTGGGGACAGGAGCGGGAAGGCCTGTGGCATCCACATTCGTTAAACACCTCTGGCTGGTGTGAGCAGCTTTGCAGATGTGCTGTGCCCAGCGCTTCTTCAGATGTCGTAGACCCGCATTTTGTAGGATCCCGAAGGATGCTGGGAGAGGCCTTCCGGCCAAGCCAACAAGATAGTTCCAATAAACACAGCAACCTGGAATATCCAGTATTATTTTTCTTGGTAACTGGCTTTGTCCTGTTGCCTAGAGAAGGCAGAGCTGTGGGCAGTGAACACATTTTCCCACAGGACGCGTGAGCAGGCCATGGAGACTCAGGTGGGAGCTGGAGGGCTCCCAGGTGTCAGTTGTTGGCTCACACTGGGAAGGCCTTTTCTTCCTGCCCGTTCTATCACCATTGAGTTAAGGACAAGACCCTGTCACTTATGCCCTTGGTTGCACGTAGATAAGGTATTAAGCGGTATTATTTCGTCGAACAGAAAGGCAGGAAGAACTGGCTATGGACAGCAAGGCTCAAATTCTGTAGTCCTATTTTCTGGATGTGCCTCATAGGGGTCCTAAGACAGTGTGCAAGGGCCAGCAGGAGCCATGCCAAGGTGAGCTGGGGTCAGGTCTGAGTACCACATCGTGACTTCTCGCCTCAGGAACTACCCGAGCTGCTGCTCTGTTCTTCTGTGTCTTCAGTGCCATTGTCACCCGCCTCTGGGACCAGAGGACTGAGGCAATGGAAAGAGAAGGCAAAGGCCCCAAATCCAGACCTGACAGCAGTGGCCAGGAGTGGATTGCACTGTGCCTGTCCTCCCTTGCCAGCCGGTGTTTTCTTGCTGTGGACACGTAACGTTTCCTTCCTGTTCTCACCACCTAAACAGGGTCGGCTCACTGGTCAGCTCCGTGTGCTGTGGTGATTAAATTTTAGTCACAGCATCCCAAGAACTTTCCTCAACTACTGTAAAATAATAAAATTATTTTCAGAATGAGGAATTGTGTGAGACTGTTTGTCAGCACAGATGTGTTTGCACACTGGGGGGAGGGAGGGAACGGGGAGGCTACTGGAGTACAAGGTTCTGAAAGTCCTTCTTCTCACTGGCCAGCATCATGTGGCTGTGGGCCTCCTAACAGGCAAGGGATAGCGAAGAAAATCCACCCTGAGGTTGAGTTAAAGGAGCAGAATCACAGGGTGTGAAATTCATAAAGCCTTGTGTATAGTTTTGAGAGAACTCTGGGAAACATTAAGCCACCAACTATGGTGGCACTTGCCTGTAATTCCAGTTCTCAGGAGCCTGGCTGAGACAGGAGGATCATAAATTCAAGGCCAATCTTGTCTATATAATAAGTTCAGGCCAGTCTGTGCTACCTAGCAAGACTGTCAAAGGAAACAAACAAAAGCCAGGCTCTCAGGACACCCCAGCACATACATACACACACACAGTGCCAGAGAAGGAGTTTCATGCACGTTTAGTGGACATATTTTTTTAATTTATTTTTAATTAATTATAGTTTATTCACTTTGTATCCCACCTGTAGCCCCCTCCCTAATCCCCTCCCAATTCCACCCTCCCTTCCTCTTCTCCAATGCCCCTTCCCCAGTCCACTGATAGGGGAGGTCCTCCTCCTCTTCCATCTGACCCTAGCCTATCAGGTCTAATCAGGACTGGCTGCATTGTCTTCCTCTGTGGCCTGGTAAGGCTGTTCCCCCCTCGTTGGGGGGAGGTGATCAAAGAGCTGGCCAATCAATTCATGTCAGAGACAGTCTATGTTTCCCACTTGAACACTGAGCTGCCATGGGCTACATCTGTGCAGGGTTTCTGGGTTATCTCCATGCATGGTCCTTGGTTGGAGTATCAGTGTCAGAAAAGACCCCTGTGCCCCAGATTTTTCAGTTCTGTTGCTCCCCTTGTGGAGTTCCTGTGTCCCTCAGCTGAGGAATGGATGCAGAAATTGTGGTACATCTACACAATGGAATACTACTCAGCAATTAAAAACAAGGAAATCATGAAATTTGCAGGCAAATGGTGGGATCTAGAAAAGATCATCCTGAGTGAGGTATCCCAGAAGCAGAAAGGCACACAGGGAATATACTCACTTATAAGGGGATACTAGACCAAAAAGATAGGAAAAACATACTAAAATCTGTACACCTAAAGAAGCTAAACAAGGAGGAGGATCCTGGGTAAGATGATCAATCCTCATTCAGAAAGGCAAAGGGGATGGACATCAGAAGAGGGAGAAAACACGCAACAGGACAGGAGCCTACAACAGGGAGCCTTTAAAAGACTCTACCCTGCAGGGTATCAAAGCAGAGGCTTGAGACTCAGCCAAACTTTGGGCAGAGTGCAGGGAATCTTAGGAAAGAAGGGGAAGACAGAAAGACATGGAGGGGAATATTTTATGTGAAGTTGCTGCTTGGAAAAAGCTGGCCCACTATCTCGGTAGAAGAGGATTAATTGAACCTGATCTATTTGGTTTCAAGCCTTGCTTTTCCTGTATGTTACACTTCACTCCTCCAGGGATGAACATAGGATATTTGTAAAGGGGAAATGAGTTTTCTTGGTGTCATCGCTGAAGTTCTGTGGTTTCTCCAGACAGCTCCATTGCTGTATGGTATGTGATAATATATGATCCTTACTTCTAATTTAGACATTGGATTAGAATTCCAAGTTAGCAAAAAGATTTCCCCTTTCTACGTTATTTCTCTACTTTAAAATTGCTTTATCAGAACAAATAAAATGTCCCAGGTCTAGCATCCACTGGGAGGTGACCTTAGAAGTGTTCTGTTACTTCAGAGATGCTCTCTTCTGTCATGTACCAGTCATCCTGGGACCCTTCACGGGGTTCATTATCTGTAAGACAATCAGGTCAGAATTCCACAGATGACCAAGATGAGAGCCAGGGTCAGACTCAATAACAAATTCTATCAGGATTATTTTTCAGCCAAAGGTCCTTGGGACTTTATTTGCATTGTCTCGACTATCTGTTGGTGCCCCAGGCTGCCAGGGGAGCCACACTGGTGTCCTGGGGTGGAGGGGAGAAGGGATATTTGTAAAAGAGCTGGTAAAAGCAGACCAAAGCTGGCCTTCACACCAGAAAGGGTTAATGCCATGGGCCCAACAAGTCGCCTGAGCATGCCTGACCTGAAAATGGAAGGGAAGGGCCGCAGATGTTCCCCATGTTGAGTATGCCAGAGTTCACATCTCCTGCTTCTCAGAGAATGCCGTCTAGAGTCAGATCTCATCAGTGAGCTCAGCCTCCACACAGCTTCCCGAAAGCTAGGGAATTTTGTCCCTCCATGCCTTACCTTTCTCCTGAGTATCAGGAGATGTGTATGTGGGAGCCTCACTTTAGGTGCTGCAGATAATGAAGAGGAGAATTTGTCTTTAAGGCTTCAAAATTCACATACAGATCATTTTCCCACTAAGCTTTTTTAAAATTTTTATTGCTACAGCTTATATTGAATGTTATATTTTTGTCTTCCTGCCTCAGGCCAGGCCTCTACAACAGTGTTGTAGCCCAGGCTACACCTGAGTGCTGGGGTCACAGAGGCTTGCTACCACACCCACCTGCCTTGTCCTGAATTCTTTCACTTTCTTAGGTGCAGCTGTCCTGGGTAGGACACAGAGTGGTCCTACAGCATTCTTGAACCTGTCTTAACTGGTTGGGATGAGTCTCCACGGTCATTTTTATAACTTTCCCGTGACCTGGAAAAAAAAAAAAAAAAACTTTGCAAAATACTAGACACAAAACCCCTTAACCCTTTTAAGTACCCGAAGCATAAGGAACTGACTCAAACTTCAGGAAGTAGCTATGAGGACAGTGTGGCAGGAAATGACAGAAAACCTGAAAACGGAACTGAAGCAGCTGCTCCGTTTCTTGCCCTGAAGTGGTAGCTGCTGGAGGGGTCGCCGGGTGTGGAAGTGAAGAGCCAGAGCCCAAGCACACAGTCAAGGTGGGTACTCTGAGCTGAGGGATACTTGGGGAGCGCAGGGGAAGTGTGTGTGAGAAGTCTGCATAGCACTTAGTCCTTGTTGAGGGAGGCCGTGGCTAATAGCGTTGAACCTTTGATGGTCATAAGGCCTGTGTTCGGGGGCTGACAATGAACGTCTGAGGATGGGAACAAGGAAATGACCTGCGCTCAGGAATGTGATTGATCAGCCACCTAGGACCGTGGGCCCGGCCAAGCGTGCCCTGGGTTCTGTTGATGACCTACACAGCCCATTCCAGAAGGCTGGCTGCCCCTGGGCACTAAGCTGAAGGAGATCCACGGAAGATGAAGACAAAGTGTGCCTTTGTCTGGTCTGGCAGGGACATAAAATACACACAGGAAATGTAAGGGGATGGGAATTAACCACAGATGAACACCAGTGCTGAGCCAAGCACTTTCAGGGGCCAAATCCAAATGTGATTGGTTGTTCAGCTGGGGTAAGTGTCTATGTTCGTGGGTATCCCAGAGTGTCAGAGAGGGGCCTTTAGTCCAACTGTGTTAAACGCTTCATTATTTAACATTGGGGAACAAGAGCAGAAAAATCAGTGATTTGCTGGAAGAAGTTAATATCGGTGGATTGCTTAGTCTTAGTCTGTGACTGGGGGTACCCCACAGGGACTGTCCTATTACTGGGTGTCTCTGGATCTCTTGACTATTGATGCTACAAGTCAGCCCTGCCATCAGGCATCAGAGGTGCCTGGCAGTCACTGTCCTTCACCAGGTTTCTTGTCCAGCCTCCAACAGTACAAGCATATTAAGTTATTTTACTCTTAGAAATGAGTGTGAGAGTTGATGGGAGAGATGGGCTGAGGCTACTGGACTGAGGCTACCTGGGGGTGGGGACAGAAGGACAAGATGAGACCATCAGACCTCACTGTTTCCTTATTTCTCATGCATATTTTACTTCTCTTTTCTGGTTTCCTTCTGTTGCAGAACAGCCTAAGAGCGAGGACATGTCAAACAGAGGCTACTAGAATGTGGGTCATGGGTCCTCTTTTACTTCTCCTATCAGTAGCTATTACCATGGGGAAAGGCCGAGTTGTTCTTAGTAGCTCACAGTGACAGCCGTGTTAACTCACCACTTCTCCAGTTGCTCCTTGGCATCTCTTTAACCCATCTACTTCTGATTTCTCTGAGGCTGATCTTCTAGGGGTTATTAACAAATGTGGGATGGAGGTTTCCAGGTAGGTATAGAAAGTGGAGCCTTGGGGCCGAGATGGACAGAGATGTGGGGATGAGTGGTTGAAGAGGGTGTCCTTTGGAAGAGTGTAAGGAGCACCAGGCTGGTCTCCAGTGGTGGAGACATCTGATGGGGAAGGATGGGCAGGGTCTTCGGGCCAGGAAATCCCAAAGGCTACCAGGGCAGATGGGCATTGTCCCTTCTTGCCTCCCCTCACCACCATGCAGAAGGCTCAATTTTCTTATTAGAAGATAAGAATTGATCAATAAGATAAAATTGAGGATTCATTTCACTTAAGTTTTCCCTGTGTATTAACTGGTGAATTTCAAACCATTTGTGTCTACAGATGACCTACAGCTGTTTAGTTGGTGACCTGTCTTAGAGTGAATGTGGGGGGCAGTGATTCAGAAAGGTGGGAAGTCAGTTAAAGCTGATTATAGACAGGAGGGACCCTGGACTCGTATGTTCTGAAGCTAGAAAGGCCATGGAGAAATCTGGGTGAACTGCCACCACAATCCTATGGTTGAACATTGTGTGACCACTGGTCACCCCTACAAGCTATCGACATAGTGAACAATCCCAGCACTTTGACAGAAGGTTGTTTTCTGTTGCCTGCGTCTATATTGAGATCTCTGCAGACTTGGGTGTGCTCAGACCATACTGACTTATCTTAAATTGAGCTTCTAACTGCTTTGCTTCAGCTCTTGTTTTCTTCTGAAGAAGGATGGTAAGCAACATCCGATTGCCCATATAGTTGACGTCATCCTTTCTCTCGATTCTTTTTTTTTTTTTTTCCTAATTATTTCCACCAACTGTCACCCTCAGATGTGGAAGTCTGTAGTAGGCCATGATGTGTCTGTTTCCGTGGAGACCCAGGGTGATGACTGGGACACAGACCCTGACTTTGTGGTGAGTAGGGAAGTAGCTTGGACAATGCAGGGGAGGGTGCATCTCAGCCGCTCTGACTTTTGAAGGGGCTAGGAAAGGGCTATCTGAGATTAAGACAGCCTTCATGGTGAGATAGACTTTCAGAACCATTAGCTTTCCTTAGTAGGAATGCATGTTAGCTCTTGTTAAGCACAGAAGAGGAGGGGCATGGATGCATTTTATAGTGACATTGCAGGACTAGGTGATTCTATCTTGAAGTTGATGATCAGTTGAGCCTTGAATTCCTCTGGCCTGTGATTTGAGATGTCATGGGAAACCAAAAGAGGAAAGGATGGGTGATTGAGAATAAGCACCAACATGCCTAAGATCACTAGCTTAATTTTAACCTTCCTGTGGGGTTGAGATGGGAGACATGCAGCTGTGAGTGAGAGTAAAGACCCTGGAGAAGGGGACAGAGAGGGTGTGTGTCGGTGGTGAGAGGCTTGCTGCATAGCGCATTTCTTGCTGACGATGTTGCGTGCCGTCTTTTGTAGAATGACATCTCTGAGAAGGAGCAGCGGTGGGGAGCCAAGACCATCGAGGGCTCTGGACGCACAGAGCACATCAAGTAGGTACCAGAAGGACTGGGAGGGGGAAATGTGTTCCCGGGAAGAGCTGATGGAAACCCTGCTGCTTCTGGGAGTGTGCAGAAAGGCAACAGCCATGTCTGAATCTTTACATTTATTTCTTTTTTTGCTAGAATCTGTTGCTGTATGTTTTTGTGTCTTCATGTGTTTTCAATTCATCTCTCCCATCTTACCATCTGTCTTATTATTATTTGTCTTTTATATATAACAGCTTTATCACTTCCCTGGGGTATGGGGAGTCTGTTATATTAACTATCTCCCTTCCTTCAATCAGATATTAGGCAATCAGAGAAGTGGCACAAATACCAGATTCTCTCATTCTATATCTATCTATCTATCTATCTATCTATCTATCTATCTATCTATCTATCTATCTATCTATCACCTATGTATCTCTTCTGTCTGTCTATAATCTATCAATTATCTATCAAATTCCATTCATCTATCCCTTCATATAAGTTTAGAACATGTGCTTAGAGTATAGGGTGATCGCCAATGGGTTAAAGACTTCAGTGCTGGGTGTGGCTGCACACACCTTTAATTCCAGCACCATCAGGCAGAGGCAAGGGGATATCTGTAACTTCAGGGCCAGCCTGATTTACATGGTGAGTTCCAGGCCAGCCAGGACTACATAACTGATGCTGTCTCAGCAAAAGAAGGAAGGCATCAGTAAAATGTCAAAGAAAAGAACTCCTCCATAAATGATGTAGTGAGGCCAATATCCACTCTCATACTTGGTACAGTGACTTGAGACACAAATTTGCATTTGACTACTTGATAAAAAGCGAGAACCTTAATATAAAGAAATATAACATCCAGAAAAGATGATGACTAAAACCATTTTAGAAATGATATTTAATCTTCAAGTCAATGACACAACTTATCATTTTTCTTGAAATCAATATGGCAGTGTAGCTCAAGAGGCTGATTTTTGCTTAGTGTGCATGAAGCCCTGTGTTTGTTCCTAGCACTAAATAAATGAGATGTGATAGTTTATGCTTTTAATCCTAGCACTGCAGGATGGAGGGAGGTGGCTGTGGGGAGAGTACGGGGTACAGAAAGATCAGAAGTTCAATGTCAAGGCTAGCCTGGGTTACATTGCATGGATTACAATGATTACAGTGATTAACTCTGAGTTACTGGTAATGCACCAGTGTCCCATTAAGGAAAGAAATGAAAGCACTTTCCCTTGTCTAACCAAGAAGCAGTCTAGATTTGAATTCTCTACTTCATGCTTCTGTGTCTTCAGTCCTCTGTCGGTCTGTCTGCTGTCTGTGTCTGAATCCATCAGCTGATTGAAGGCTGACTTGCGAATCTGTCTGTCCATGTGTCTGCCTTGTGTGTGACTGCTGTGTGTTTGTGCCTGTACCTCCCTAACAAAAGGCTCTGCTCTGTTGTTATTAAACAGCATAGGGAGCATCACACAGGGGAAGGCATGTGGGGTATGTAACAAAAATCCTTAACAGAGTTTTACAAGGAATAGAGTCATTGGCTCCAGCTGACCCAGATAGCAGATATCATTGTTTATACCTATAAATGGTTGCTTTCAACTTTTGTGTTAGATTTTAGGAAACTGCTTTCAACTTCTGTATTTGCTGCTTTAAGTAAATGATGCACGTGCCTTGTCTGGGTCAGGGGAGTGGAAGAGGACATAGCTCAAGACTGCAGCTGTGCATCAGCTTAAGTTAAAAGAACTGACCGCATGGCAAACAAGTTTGGTTGTTACATTGTTCTCTTAAAGGCCTGTTTAACAGGCTAACAGTCTTAAGTGTTAAGTTAATAATACGGTGTATTGTTAACTTTGGCTGTGAGGTCCAGCAAAATTCGATAGCTTAGACTTTAGGGGTTAGTTTTAGAATATTGCATCACTATAATACATGAGACTGTCTCAAAGAGAGGGAAGTCAATACGGGCGTATCTAGGATTTTCTGTGGATTATTGTACTAGGCAACTGAGAGAATCACATCTCTGGTCCATGTACTATTCAGGCTCATCTAATGAGGACTGTTGGTTTGGGGTGGCACCAGGCTGCCATGTTTCAGTAGCAAAGTAAACACAATGACTATTTTCATTAGTAAGAGTGAAAGTTGGAAAGTAATGAATCAACAGTACCAGGTTTGGCAAGATTAAGATACTTTTCAGCTGGATTCCCAACTCCTCTTCTTCCTCCCACACTCTAACAATATTTTAGGCTCATTTCCCCCTAGATTTTAAAAAGTGTCAGTAATGCCCATATTGCAGTAGCCATAGACTTAGGAAACTTGGCACATGTATGTGTAGATCTGGAATGTCACTGAACAGGGTCAATGGTTGGACTAAAGTAGCTCTACTAAGTATTCACTTTGTATTCTCTTTAGTCATTTTGATACGGATGGGTCTTTTGTCAGTATGTATGTCTATCTACCACATGTGGCCCTGTTGCCCAGGGAGGCCAGAAGAGGGTATTGGAGCTGCTGGAACTGGAGTTGCAGACAACGGAGTTACAGAGCTGCCATGTGGGGGCTGCAAATCAAACCCAGGTCCTCTACGAGGGCAGACAGTGCTGTCAACTCCTCAGCCATCTCTCCAGCCCCAACTGAATATTAGTCCCAAACAAATCAAGCAATTCTGGAAAGTGTGTAGAGTGACAAAGAAAAAGCACAGGAAGAGGGAGCTTTCCAGAAGCTTCTGTAGTGCTCACTCCCCTGAGAGCTCACAGCTTCAAGGTCAAAGCTCTTTTCCTTCCTGAGTGAAGGACACAGGCTCTGGTGTTCTGGGAGTTGCCAAGATGAGGGACCACTTTTGAGGAGCTCTCCCCTCCCAATGCCTACATCTTGCATGTTAGGTAGAAGTAGAAGATTCTGAGGACAACTTCTAAAATCCTGCCATGAACCTGTGGGAAATGCTTGGGAGATTTTGATTGGGTTCACAGCTCTGTCATTGCTAGCCGTGTGAACTTAGTCATAGCTAATGTCCTTGCAGCTCATTTTATTAATGCATGGGGATCATGACAGCTACCCTGAAGGATGGAATTCAATAAATAGGATCTGGAGGGCCTGCTGGCACTTGGTACTTCTTAGCACAGTGCCGATGTTATTTCTATGCTCTGCTAATCTAGTTTGTCAGATTTCCATCCCCCAAACCTAACGAGCACGCAGCAGCGGATACCTCCCTTCTTCCTGCATGGTTGTATTTGCACAAATGGCTGGGCTGCAGACTGCTGCTGTGCACATCACCTTGACTTCGTGCGGTGGTGTAGTGATGACTCTGCAGGCCTCCTTGTTAACCCAACCCATCTACATCCACTACAGTAAAGGCTGGCGATATTGCCTCAAAGGCTTACTCCATCCCTATTTGTTAGAGCCTTCCAGGCACGAAAGCTTGGACCCTGCTGGGAATGGGCTAGGTGACCTTGGACAAATCTTTTATCCCGCTCTGAGCTTCAGCTTTCCCATCTAGATCAGATCGCCCTCCAGGGGACATTTCAACATAAAGTCTGTGATATTCTTTGGATGGTGCCCACTAAACTACCCTTCCTGGTGAGGTGGAAATTACCAAGACCCTGGGAGTTCAGGGGAAATTGGAGAGGAGAGCTCTTGCCAGACTGAGCTGACTCAAAACAGGAAAAGGAAGTGACTGTGGTTCTTAGTAGGCGCGCTACCTGCCCCCTCACCACTGCGATGCCTCTAGGTCAGCCCTGAATAAATTTAGTCTGGGGATGGCTTTCTAATGCCGAGACTAACTTAAGTGATTCTGACATCTCTCATCCGTTGTATATAGAAATGAGCTCACTGTCAAGGGCTATCCATCACCCTTTGTCCTTTCCATGTTTGTCGATGCCTTCTCGCTATCTTTCCCCATGGTTAGTAAAGGATCCTTCCTAGCCCCAAGCAGTGATTCCTAAACTCTCTGTTGGCAAGCACAAGTGTTTTTCTGTTATCAGATTGATACTTCTGTAAAATAAAACATAACTGGTTGAAAAACAATGAGGTTGAAGACATAAGCACAGTTTTTTTTTTGTTTTTTGTTTTTTGTTTTTACTTTTATAGTTAACAGATACAGGATCACCATGTAAAACTTTTGCTCATGTATCTAAAATCATACTCTTGATTTTTACCTTATTTCATTGTGAAAACAACAACAACAACAAACAACAACAAAACAGGTCAGCTCCCAGACCGTACTGGGCAACACGATAGCAGACAAGGCCTTTGATGCTCCCTGAGGTCTTTAGGTTAGGTCTCACTGACGTATTTGTAAGGGCCTGTCTCAGTGGCTTAGCCTACATTTGTGTCCTGCCGTCCTTCACAAAGTGGAAATGAAGAATAACACAGTACTGCATGTACTGAAAGAGAACCTTGGAGGCCCAGCGACCGGTGCCCTTTCTGCCATGCCAGCACCCAGGGCATTTAAGAGAAGAGTTTCACCACTCTGTCACTATTTCCCCAGGTGACTGGAGATTATAGCACTGGCCCTCCTTACCTCACAGGGGTATTGTGAAGATCCATGGCTCTTCATGAGAACATAGGGCAACATTTATTGAGTTGTCATGCAGTCAGTCATGCCTGCCACAGAGGATGATGTCATTCTGATAGTATAGAAAAGTAAGATGTTCATTCTGGATTTTAACAATTCGTCTAAGGATAGAGACATGATATAGACAAATAATAATTTGAATTTGGCTGCGTACTTAGCCACTCTGTCATATTGTTTCTAATGAACATGGTTTGCCATGTCCACAACTCTCTTTTTGAAATGTGAATTCCCGTGATCAACCATCCCCTTTCCCTAAGGCTGCTGTTTTGTTTAAAGCAGGCACATATATTATAGTTCGGCTCTAACAACATGCCATGCTAACTGCATACATGTGGACCTCTTTAGGAGTACATAAAAGCTACCATTCATTCATTTCCTATTTTAAAAATCAGGGTATGTAATTATGTAAGTAATTGTAAGCAGATGGTTCAGTGAATTTTGATAATACCACAAGGAACCACCAGCACAGCGAGAACACAGAAGATTTCAGTTACCACTAAAAGTCCTCAGTGCCTCCTGCCCAGCCCACACAGAAATGCTGAGGTTTTGTTTTTGTTTTCTTTGTTTGTTTGTTTTTTTATCAATGTAGGGTGGTTAGTTTGGTCTCTCTAGAGTTTCAGGAAATGAATAACAAATATTGTACTGTCTTGAATTGGTTTTCTGAGCATGTTTTGAAATGTTCTAGCTAGAACATTGTCTGTATTAGTTTCTTGCTCTTGTCAAATGGCATGCATTGTGTAGTACATTACAGTTTGGTTTCTTTATTGCTGTATTGCTAAACATCTAAGTCTATTAAAAACACATCATGAGCATTTGAGTGTGACACTCTGTTGACATATTTTTATTTTTCCCAAGGTATACTTAAAAATCTAATTGCTTATTCATATAGTCAGTGTGCGTTTACCTTCTGAGAAACTGCCCATCTGTTTTTTTTCCAAAAGGAATTTACTATAGTTGATTTCTGCCAGAAATGTAAGGGTTTCACTTGCTCCGTGTCCTTGCCAACACTTGTTATTGTCAGTAGTTTGAATTTTAGCCACTCTGTGCGTATGTGGTGATGTTAATTTATATTTCTTGGGTGAGTAAATATTAAGCATTTTTCATGTGCCAACCATGGCTCTTCGTCTATCTTTTTTCTAAAACGTGTGCAAATATTTTCTTACTTTTAAAATGCCTTTTTTACTGAATTCTCTATATATTTTAGAAACAGAACTTTTGTAAGATGTGTATTTTATAAATATTTTATCCAAGAGCAGTGATTGCTCTTTTAATTTTCTAGTAGTATTATTTCATAGGCACAAGATTTGAATTCTAATTTATATAAAAAGATTTTTTTATCACTAGTGAGGTTTTTTAATATCTAAGAAAAAAATTTACCTCAAAGTTGTGAAGATCATCTCTAACATTTGACCCAGTTTAAAAATGTATCTTTTAATATTTATGTGCACATGAGGCTGAGGTTAAGGCTCATCTTCTTTACGGATATCCAGTTGCCAAGCACAATCCAAACTCTGTCCTTTTCCCCCTCACTCAGCAGGTTTCTTTGACCTTCTGTGTGGTTGGCTTCTGGACTCTGTTCTGCCTCATGAGGCAATGTGGTTGCCCTGGCAGCACACACCACAGGACAGTGGTGGCTGCAGCTGTGTGCTAAGTCATTGGAACCAAACAGGCTCCCAACCATGTACTCCTTCAGGACGTTTTCTTTACTGTCCTAGGATTTTATGGCGTCATACATTTAGAATCAGCTAGTCAGCTCCTGGAGAGGAAAATGTCTGTTGAGATTTTTATTTGAATGGGGTTCCACTGGAGATGTAGGTCACTTAGGGGGAAAATAAATGTGTTGATTGTATTGAGTTTTCAATTCTATGAGCCTGAGGCATTCTACTTATTAGATCGTCTTTGAGTGTTTTTTCACAAGTATTGTTAGGGTACAAGTCTTATTCACATTTTGTGATATTTATCTTAAGATGTTTCATGTCATGTTATGTCATGAGTATAACTTTCTTTTAACCTCTAAGTTTTCAAATGTCTGCGGCTGGTAGATAGAAATGCAATCAACCTTGGTACAGTGACTTTGTATCCTGTAACTGTGCCCCACATACTTAATAGTTTTGGTAGCTTCTTTGTAGATTGTTTTGGCTTTTCCAAACGTGATCATATTGTTTGTGAATAAAGACTTTATAGTCATAACTTCTTAGTTTATGCCTTTATTGTTATTATTATTTTACTTTTTAAAAGGATTTATTTATTTTTTCTTTATTAATTACACTTTATTCACTTTGCATCCCCCCTGTGGTTCCCTCCCTCCTCCCCTCCCAAACCTTTCCTTCCTTCCCACTCTGCACGCATGCCCCTCCCCAAGTCCACTGAGAGGGGAGGTCTTCTTTTCCTTCCTTCTGATCCTAGTCAATTAGGTCTCATCAGGAGTGGTTGCATTGTCTTCTTCTGTGGCCTGGTAATGCTGCTCCCCCCTTAGGGGAAGGTAATTAAAGAGCAGGCCAATCAGTTCATGTCAGAGACAGTCCTTGTTCCTATTACTATGGAACCCACTTGGATACTGAACTGCCATGGGCTACATCTGTGCAGGGGTCTTAGGTTATCTCCATGCATGGTCCTTGGTTAGAGTATCAGTCTCAGGAAAGACCCCTGTGCTCAGAGTTTTTGGTTCTGTTGCTCTCCTTGTGGAGTTCCTGTCCTCTCCAGATCTTACTGTTTCCCACTTCTTTCATAAGATTCCCTGCACTCTGCCCAAAGGTTGCCCATAAGTCTCAGCATCTGCATTGATAGTCTGCGGGGCAGAGCCTTTCAGAGGTCCTCTGTGTCAGGCTCCTGACTTGTTCCCTCTTTTCTCCTTCTTCTGATGTCCATCCTTTTTGCCTTTCTGGATAGGAATTGAGTATTTTAGCAAGAGTCCTCCCTCTTGATTAGTTTCTTTAGGTGTACCGATTTTAGTAGGTTTATCCTATATTATATGTCTATATGAGTGAGTATATACCATGTGCATCTTTCTGCTTCTGGGATAGCTCACTCAGGATGATCTTTTCCAGATCCCACCATTTACCTGCAAATTTCATGATTTCCTTGTTTTTTATTGCTGAGTAATATTCCATTGTGTAGATATACCACAATTTCTGTATCCATTCCTCAACTGGGCTGTTTCCAGTAAAACCCAAAAGTGCTGTCCTTTCTCCTGTTTCACGTTTGAAGTCCTGGATTTTGCTAGGTTGTCTTGCTTTGTCAATAGAATCCTTGCCACTCTGAATGTAATATGTTGCTTCCCTGTGTCACTTCCCTCTGTCCACTGTCCCCATACTTGAGATTTTTTGTGTCCTCGGAGCCTCTAAATGCTTCACACTCAAAGTTGTTTAATTGATATTTATCAAATAAAATTATTGTGTATTAAGAGCTACTCAGGATGGATTCAGCTATATGGTTAAAGAAATTTATAAAAAGTTGGATTTTCTGTTGAGTGTGGCTACAGATGCCTGGGATCCTAGTCCTTGGAGGGATGTGAGAAGATCAGGAGTTCAAGGTCAACCTTGGCTACACAGGGAGGTAGGAGCTATCCTGGGTTCTCAAAAATAAAACCAAACAAATAAACATAATATTTTGTAATTTCTTTTGGTCCACAACATTTTCATTCAGATACTGTCGTGGGTTGGTACAGTCCTCTGACTAGCCTGCCATTCAGTAGGTGGATTTGCATATTTTCTCAGTTGTCTCTCCCCAACCCTTCCTTTCTCACTTGAATACTTCAGTTGGGGACCTCAGACAGCCATTCACAAGCTCTTGGATCTCTGCTTTCACTGCTGCCAGACGGGTCAGGTGGGGCATGGGAACACAGGGTGCCTCCAGCACTGGGATGGATTTCATCTGATTCATCGCCAGCTCTCTAAAATTAACCGTGGCTAAAGCCGAAAGGCTTTCTAAAAGCCTCCGGTGAGATTATCCCACTAGACCAGCAGATGGGTCTAATCTTCCATGAAAGGACAACGTCTCTACTGTGAAGTGGATGTTGTACCTGAGACCAGCCTCTTCTGGGCCTGAGCTAGTGGAGTCCTGGGGACAGTAACTACCTTTGCTTACTGCAGAAAGTCGGGTCTCTAAAATGTAGAGCTCTCTCATCCAGATATTTCTGTGTGGTGCCAGGGGTCCTTCTGTTTCCAAATTTTTGAATCCTTGCTTAATCACTTGTTGGTATGGCCTCTGAGCTGTCAATGCATATCTTCAGGTTAAACAGATTGTGGCTCTCTACCCTATTTGGTGCTGCAGCCTTCATGGTAGTAAAGATGGAAGCGAGCATAAAGCAAGCAAGAGGACTGAGTGTCTTTGTCCCCATCAGTGTCATTTGCTCTCAGGGGCAGAACCCCAATCTAAATGATGGGGAACTTTAAGCTGTTCTAGCAGATGATGAGTGCATTTTGTGGCTTCGTTTCTGTTTGTTATCCCCCCAACTTATCGGGCTCAGGTTGGAGAATGTTAACGCTTGAAAAAAACATCCAATCCTAATGAATAACTAAATTTACCCCAAGCTCCATTTTTATAAGCATCAGTTTGAATGACCCCCATTCTGTTATGGAAATGTAGCATTTCCGTTTTCTGAGGTGTTTTCCGCTTACAGGGCATACTGATTGGTTGTTTTCGCTATTATCTGTAATCTTTCAATCATTAAACATTAAGCTTTTCCATATTTAAAATTATCGGGGGGCAGGCTTTTGGACCAGGGATGTATATATTTAAATGTATTTTCATATCTTTCTGCTTCTTGAGACAGACCACCCAGGGGGTCAAAGGCAGGTCTCTTTGGAGAGAGAGCAACTCCTCAGTTGTTAGTATGTAGGTTTCATTTGACCTGTGATACAGATGAACATGAAAATGAACCTAAAAATCACAAGGTTATGTCAGTGAGAGATAGAACAGACCATAGGGTCCTGGCTTCTAGAGGGTTTAAATCAGGCTATGTTGGTTGAACCAGCCCCTTACTCTAAGCCTGTCACGATATCTGGGGGTGGGGGGGGGGACTCAGAGCTTCACTACAGAAGATTTCCATTTCCTGGGTCTGTTGACCTCTCTGATGGAGGCGAGTCTCAAGTATACAGTTACTTGCAGCATCCACCAGCTGAGGAACAAAGTGTCGGAGGAGCATGACATTCTCAAGAAGAAAGAGTTGGAGTCAGGGCCTAAAGCATCCCATGGCTATGGAGGTCGGTTTGGAGTGGAAAGAGACCGGATGGACAAGGTGAGTTAAAAAGGAGGAAAAATAATGAAAAAAAAATGAAATTGACTCGCTTGTTGGTGCTTTGGTTTAAAACTTGTTCCAAACATCGTGTCCATTTTGGCTTAGTGCAGAATGTTTATGTTCTATGTGTGTGTGTGTGATATATGTATATATACATATATATGTGTGTATATACATGTGTGTGTGTGTGTGTGTGTGTGTGTGTGTGTGTGTGTGTGTGTGT